GTAGAGGTAATAGTGCGGAATCTCTCCTGTCCAGCCGTGTCCCAAATCTGTAACTTTACTTTTTCCCCATCAATATCCACCGTTCTGATCTTGAAGTCCACTCCTATCGTTGTGATATATGTACCTATCAACACAAACACAGACGGATATAGCCAGACGGACATACGTATGGTAAAACAGACAATCAGGTGGGCAGAGAGATGGAGAATGTATGTGCGTGTGTGCAAGTGTGTGTGTATGTGTGTGTGTGTGTGTGTGTGTGTGTGTGTGTGTGTGTGTGTGTGTGTGTAAGGTATTGCTGAGGCGGAACTGCCTGAATCCCAATGCGGGTTTCGGCGGCACCGTGGTTGTGCGGACGCCATCTTCTCTGTCCGTCAACTTGTCGAGAAGTCGTACGAACATCGATCGAAGCTCTTCTGCGTATTTGTGGATCTCCGCAAAGCATACGACTCTGTCCCTCGCGAAGCTCTTTGGCAGGCATTGCTGCGGCTGGGTGTGCCGCCCCCGACTGTGGCCATCATCAAATCATTCCATACAAACATGTCAGCTTGCGTTCGCGTTGCCGGTGGTTGCACGGATCCGATATCTGTCAAGAATGGGCTGCGCCAAGGGTGCGTTATGGCACCTGTACTGTTTAACTTGTACTTCGGCTTAGTTATTGAGCGTTGGCGATCCCTTCTCGTTGAGCGTGGAATAGAGTCTGGTGTGGACTTCAGCTTCACAATTGATGGCCAGCTGTTCCCTCGTGTCACTAGGCGTCGTCCCCACTCCGAGTCCGGCCATGCTGATGACTTCGAGTTTGCGGATGATGCTGTACTGCTCGCTACAACTCGCAACGCAGCCGATCAATCCCTGTGTGCCTTTTGTGAGGTCGCATCCAGCTTGGGTCTCACAGTGAGCATGACCAAGACCAAGCTTCTCGTTGCAGGTTTCGGAGTTTGCCCTGCTGATTGCTCTGATTTGGTCATTGGCAGTGATAGGGTTGAAGCAGTCACCTCATTCCCCTATCTTGGTTCCACCATCACTTCAGACTCGCGGTCGCAAGCGGACATTCGGAGCCGTCTAGCAAAGGGTGCAGGGGCCTTTGGTGGTCTTCGGCGCATCCTACATGACCGGAGCCTGAACCTCCCTACCAGGCGCCACCTGTATGTCGTTTGCGTACTGTCAACGGTTCTGTATGGTTCAGAATGCTGGACGCCGTTGAAGGCAGATTTAGATAGAATGGACCGGTTTCACCATGCCAACATTCGCTCCATCCTTGGCGTATCGCGAGGCCGACAGTGGGAACAGCGCATCTCTTCACAGGAACTGCGAGCACAGTGGGGTGATCCCACACCATTGTCACGCATGGTGCAGCAGAGACGGTTGGAGTGGCTTGGGCACCTGGCTCGTCTTGATGACACCAGAGTACCGAAGCAGTTGCTGTTTGCCTGTCTCCCTCAGTCTCGGCCATTCTGTGGACCTCGTCGTCGCTGGAAGGACACCATTCACACGGACCTATCCGTGGCTGGAGTGCGTAACTGGTTTGAGTTGGCAAGCGATCGTGGAGAGTGGCGTGGAGTGGTGACAGCAGCAGGTGAGGACAAGGAACCCGCCCCGAAGAGCATCGAGTGCCCAACCTGCAACCGTCTGTTCCGCCGTAGTTCCGACATGGTCCGGCACAAGTGTTCAGCAATCCGTCAGCTCCCGGTATCGGAGCAGCCTGGATCAGTACAGTGTCCAACATGCAACCGATGGCTACGTAGCAGAGGAGGCTTTGCGGTGCATAAGTGTCGGCTAGGCGATGTCGACCAGCCGCCGGCCCCTGCCCCTGCTCCTCTTGTTGTTCCTGGTGTAACTTGCACCAACTGTCAGCGTTCATTTAAATCGGCTGCGGGTCTCAAGCGTCACCGTTGTGGAACCTGTCCAAAGCGCCCTACTGTGGCTGAACGCCAACAATTCAAGTTTCACTGCCAAGTTTGCCACAACCGACGGTTCCGGAGGCGGCAAGATCTGGAACGCCACTTGGAGCATTGCCTTCCTCCCCCCTAACCTCTCTGACAGTACCTCCCTTTGGGGAGCGGCGTGGCCATTTCTGGCAGCTGTCAATAGTAGTAGTAGTAGTAGTAGTGTGTGTGTGTGTGTGCGTGCGTGCGTGTGTGTGTGAGAGAGAGAGAGAGAGAGAGAGAGAGAGAGAGAGAGAGAGAGAGAGAGAGAGAGAGAGAGAGAGAGAGAGAGAAGGGTGAGGTGAGGTGAAGTGCAGTCTTCTTTCTTGCATTCAAATCTGGCACAGTCCCTATGAGTATGAAGTCCTAGCTGAGCAGATTTTTGGCACGTGACCATGTTTCAACACCTGAAACAACCAATTGGTCCGTACATTGTCCAGTCCCGTACCAGCAGAGGGGAACAAAGCCCAGTCAACTTGAATATCAAGGGACTATTCAGTGTGTGCAGACAGATTCGAATGTGTCTGACCGAACTCGGGCTTTTTCCCCAGATACTAGCACATACATGCTTAGTAGATGTGAAATGAATGTGTCAAAGGTTCGAAGAACCTTCGGTTTCATTTGAAACAAACCTCCGCATTCAATTCAAACGAAGGTCAACGCACGATTTCTTCATGCATGCATGCACTGATCTTCACGGTACACATGTATAGTGTACTGTAGTCTGTACAGTTAACTATAGTAACACATGATGTTAGCGACCACCTGCTCTTAACGACCACCTGCTCTTAACGACCACCTGCTCTCAACGACCGTTTTTCCAGGCACGGACAGTTCTACACGGACACTGTGGGACCTGGTTCTAAAGACCACCTGGCTTTACTTGGTTTCGGGTGGGTGGGGGAAATGCCACTGCAAGTGCATAACCTAGGCAGCGGAATGCGCTTGAACAGGCGTCATTCACGGCCACGGTGTGCAGAAGTAGCCTACTTAGCAGGGCAATGTGAAGTGTGAACTGGTTAAAGAATCCTGCGACACATTCGTTCGTTTTGATGAAGAAGGTTTGTTTGGCAAAGAGAGAGCTTCGTTCACCCCTAAATTGTATAGTCGGAGGAAGAAGAAAGAGACGTAATGTATCTCAAGGCTTGCTACTCTTGCAAATGGCTTTGATGAGTTAGATGTATTGCTGTGCTTAGGGGTCGTCACAAAGGTTTTCGTCGTCCCTGAAATGAACTTCATTCGTTGGGGGGGGGGGGGGGGGGGTAGGGGTGCGAGCCAATAATATTCACGTATACACACACACACACACACACACGTGCACACACATACACACACGCATGCATGCATACACGCACACACAGAAACTTACCAGAGAAAACATTATCCGCAAAGCGTAGTAGCAGACTGCTTTTTCCCACACCTAATATACCGACACACACACACACAAACACACACGTACACACACGACAGGAGAAGTTCATGATAATATCGAGAGACCAACAAATAACACAATCGTGTTATGGTAGTGGCGGTGCTGGTGGTGGTGATGCTGGAGGTGGTGGTGGTCGTGGTGTTGCTGGTGGTGGTGGTGCTGCTGCTGGTGGTGCTGGTGGTGGTCGTGGTGTTGCTGCTGGTGTTGCTGCTGGTGGTATTGGTGGTGGTGATGGTGTTGCTGGTGGTGTTGCTGGTGGTGGTGGTGATGGTGTTGCTGCTGTTGCTGGTGGTACTGGTGGCGGTACTGGTGGTGGTAGTGGTAATGATGGTGGTGGTGGTGGTGGTGGTGATGGTGGTGGTGGTGGTGGTGGTGGTGGTGGTGGTGGTGGTGGTGGTGGTGGTGGTGGTGGTGGTGAAGTGGTGGTGGGGATCAGCGTTGCATGCCTACTTTCATGTGCTACAGTGATCAGCCTATGTGTGCTTAAATCACCGTATACATAACATAAGGCCAAACTAAAGAAGGTGTGTGGTTCGACTCACCCGACCGACCGTACAATTTCAGCCCGACCGTAACTTTTTTTCGGCGGGCTGTCGTGTGACTGACGTACGTACGTGGACTGAACACGTCCACGTCTACGTGCTGTGCGGCGTGAGTCTGCGGACGCAGGCGGCTCCTTTTGGACTTGACTTGTACTTGTAGTTGTACTGCAGTGCAGTGCAGTGAGTGGTACGACTGCTGCCTTGTGCTGGTAGTAGAGTCTACTCGATACGCGTATACAGTGTATTTACATGTACTAAAAAATATATTAAAAAAAAAAAAAACCGCCCGCCCGCCCGTAAAAAAAATGTCCATGTTAGTCGAACCACACACCTTCTTTAGTTTGGCCTAATGGTATTTTGTGCTTCGTGAAATTCTAGCCTGTTCCTTCTTTGGCTCACTGCCCTTCAGTGCACCACACTTCGGCTCACCGATCTCTGCCCCCCACGTGACAGTACTAAAGTGTGTTTCAGAAGTTCAGACCTCTGGTTTAAATAAACCGTTAGACCAGCATCTATACCCCATAAAATGCGAGGCTGTGATCACTTTGTGCATAACATTTCCGAAATTGGGGCGTTTGTTATCCAAACGCTTAGAAATTTAACCTTAAATGAGAAAAATTGCGGGAGCTGTCTGAGCATTATTCCGAAGAAATTTCTCAAAAAGCTCAAACCAAATTTGAATTCTTCAAAAAAGTCTTGAGGTCTATACTTTTGAAACACATTACAGGTGATTTCCATTGCTAGTAGGATGCTACAGTACATGTAACGTATTTTCCCGAGTACAAGCCACACTTTAAACATCAGCAATGTTCTAAGAAAATAGCCGGCGCGGCTGAAATACTTATATGATTAAATATTATCTTGACTAGTTAAATGTGATAAATAGGGTGGATGTCTGTATTTCGTGACAACAAAAAACGGGTGCGACTTATATCCCAATGCGGCTTATACGCCGGAAAATACTGTACGAGGCGAACCAAGTATTTAGTTGGGCAACACAGCTCTGACCCAAGAATGTGAGTGAGTTTGTCGGACTAGAACATAGGGACGCATGCCGGACACAATGTGCGAATACTACCCCCCCCCCCCCCCCCCCCACACACACACACATACCCACCCACACACGCACACACACCGTATTTTCCCCATTAGACGTACACGTCTCCATTACTAGTACGTCCCCAATTGTAGTACATTGTAGTACATGTTGCATGTGTGGATCGAAAATATAAAAGGACACGTCTCTAATAATAGTACATGCCGGAATGATGTGATGGGCATTAGTGGGGTACAGATACCAGGGTCGACCTTACTTCGTTTTTCTTACCCGTTCATCATCTGTGTGTCTTTGTACACTGATTCTTACCATGGTTGGGTGTATTTACAGCCTTACAGCATCATTATCACGAGTTGTTTGCCACCCAACCCAGGCAATCAATCTTCCCAGAAACAATAAAAGTACACGTCTCCAGTACTAGTACAGTCTCCTATAGTAGTACAGGTCTGACCACCTTTGAAAAAATAAAAGCACTGTACATTTATTGGGGAAAATACGGTACGCAAAAACATACACCCCCACCCAACCCCCCACCACACACACACCATACCACACCACACACAGTAAACATTGTAGACGTGCGTACAGCACTTCCAAAAATGTTTCCTGTGCCAGGGAGGCATGTAGTCTGCCAAACCAGACACACACACACATACACACACACACGCACGCACCCACACACACGCACGCACACACACACACACACACACACACACACACGCTGACAGTGCCACTACGCAGCACTTCTTGACACTGATGCTGTCGTTACAACTAGAATGCAACCTCAAACTGAATCAAAGCCATTGCTCCACACCTGTTAGAGGACAAGCGTTCCGCTTGATCACATCACGTTCGACAACTAGCTAGTACACGAAATGTTCTACAACGAACACCGCCTCTCCTTTTTATCTTTTACTTTCAGGCAACATGCCGCCACTGATGTTGACGTTGTAGATACGGATGCTTTTGTCCGGCTCACAATCAAAGTGATTGTGAGATTTAGGGTTTGAGCCAACAAGAAAATATTTGTATCTTCAACAATGACTGGAATGTACCCACTAAGTACTGTACCAGGGCACTGTTTCTGATCAACTCGCAGCGCTAGCGCACTGGCGATGTTACAAAGCTCAATGTGATCTTCACCTTCTCTTCGCCGAGTGTTTCTGCAAACGCTACAATACTCAAACGCCATCGCAGTGGCCAACGACACACATCGGCCCACGGCTCCCCAGATGTCTTTGTGCTGACACTTCAGCAACGTTCGCTGAACACAAACACCCATTAGATCCGAGGATATTGCTTAGTCCTAGCGAGCACACGCGCAACCTGCTTGCTTACCGCTATCGCCGATGATGAGGAGCTTGAAGAGATGGTCGTATTCCCTGTTGGCCATCACGCCACGCTTACATCTGATTTCTTGCTCCCTATTTTTTTACTCACTGCTAACGGAGAGTCCAGCAGCTAGCACGTCGGTACACAGATCCTAGCGCACTCGCACTATCCAGCAAGTCACTTAGCTTGAGCGAGAGGCGTCCGTCCTTCTATTCAGCCACGTACCAAACACACTAACTAACACAGTTACGAGTTACGCCAGAACAACAGCGCGACGATCGCTTCTCCAAACGATTACTTCTAAAAATAATAATAGTTCTCTCTCGTTTGCTCTCTCGCTCTCGATATCTCCCGCTAGCGCAGTCGCTAGTATAGTCACGACAAAGTTTTGGCCGACGTCCGTTTCACTGCATGGGATACATGCACGCGTGCATAGCCATCAGCGTGTTTTCGCCATCCGGTCCGCCTTTTTTTGTCCGTGTTGACTGACCTGTTGACTGTTGAATGCTATGCATGGCATAGCAGTGGGGGCTGAGTTCGTGTGTGCAACAGTTACAGTGCAGCGCTTGTCGACGTGATGTCATACATACTAGGCATGCTGAATGATGCCTGAATCTATCATGATCGGAATGGTGCTGAATCTGCTGATCAATGAAATCCGATCGCAGGAGTCATACAGCCACGCTAGCTGGTACTGTGCACTGTCGCTCTACGTCTACCATGGTCTACTGAGCGCTAGCGCTGTGCAGCCGTAGAGACCTGCAAACACTCTATCTACTCATACTATTACTACTACAGGGTGCAGACTCACTAACTATTTACTTACAGCATACAGGATCGGATTTCTTGAACAGCGTGGTAGACCGTCTACCACAGATCTACCATGCGGGCATGATCACTAGTGCACTCGGATCCGGGAGCTGGAGCCTGTGCATGTGCCGATGTGGAGTACTGAGTGAGTCTGTAGCTAGCTGTAGTGTAGCCATAGCCATATTGCAGCCCATGCCATGGGCTGCAATATGGCTATGGCTACACTACAGCTACAGACTACAGCTACAGCTTACATGGCCATGCCCATGGTATGGGGCATGGGCCATGGCCCTCTGCCTCTGGCAAAAAAAGATAAAAGATCTCTTGAGTCTTGTGCACGCGAAGTACAGTACATCGACTTCTTCTTCTCTCGTCGTGTGTTCTTGTTGATCGGCATCGCGCGTGACTGAGTGTGTTTCTGCTGGCACGATGAGAGCTGTGGCCGCTGTGTTGTTCGTGTTGACCGCCGTGACGGTGGGTCAGACGGAGGGAGGCATCGTTCGCGCCGTGATCGAGGTGAGCCACAGTCGAGTCATATGAGCGTATAGTAGTACTAGTAGTGTGGTGTTCTTGTGTGCTGACTCCTACACGCGCGGACGTGTACAGTCGACGAAATGAGTAAAAGAGTGGACGAAACGATCGCAATCAGCATAGCAGTCGTGCAGCAGTCGTGCTTGAGTCTGTGATTGCGATGCCCGCCCGTCTGCCCGTCTTGCAGTTGCATGGGTGTGCATGTCCATGGTGTAGCGTACAACCAGCATTAGCACGTGTCGATACAATAAAATTTAATGCGAAGGCTCCATTGTTCCCTGTGTTGGTAGACTACTGCTAGTCTACTTCGGACCAGGCCACCAGGGTGTTGAGTGAGACTAGACCCCTGCTTCGCACCTGAGCCTGCTGGATAAAGCAAAAGAGGAAAGTTCACCCTAAAATCACAATCAGGTAATATTGGGAAAAAATCAGCCAAGTCGAATGGTGTATGTCTCGCCTTCGTCCAGTGACCAGGTGACTGTAAGAGAGGTTATGCGAATACGTCATCATTACGTCATCATTATCAGTTGATGTGTTTTGTTTGGAGTGGCATGATAACGGTTCACAAGCATTGGTCTTCCACTGCACACACGGCCCCGTACAATGATGCCGGTGCCAGGCGAGTAACGTCTATTGAGTAGCAAACACAGCTACAGTAAAACCTGCCTTAAACTAGTTAAAGGGGAAGTCCGGTGAAAAATTTAATTTTCAGGGTCGGTAGAGTTTTGGGCGCTGAGTCGAATGGTGTTGGTCCCACGTGTCTCCGACAAAGCGTTCTCGAGATATTTCCGTTTGAAAAACTGAGTTTCGGGGGCTGCGCCATGACGTCATGCGGCCGCGCCACACCCTCCGCAACGTCATAGCGTGCAGCTAGGTCAAAAGGAGTGCGTGAAAGCAATAGTGTCAGTGCTATTTCAAATGATTTGGCGACCCATAGTAGGTGGTGCAAGCGACCCCGAAGACGAAACTCCTTGTGAGAGTGAGGATGCAGCCATGGCTGACCTTCATGAGTTCGGTCTGGGGCTGAGAACCTCGGTATTCAGCTGTAGAAATGGCCGCGCGGGCCAGTCAAGAGTGAACGCTACTGAGTGTCCGACTGATGAAGAAGCAGCAGCTATTGCAGATGAGGCTGATATAATTATCAGATCGCTGGAGAGCAGAGTCGCCAAAATGGAGAAGAGTGATGCGAGTGCTCTAAATGTTGTTCCCTACCGATTCGCTTAGACTCCAGCAGCCTGCCACATGGTGATGTTTTGGTGCGAACTTACTTGGCATATTTCGGACTACGCAATTGGAGCCTGAACAGCGCAGGCTCTTTGAACCACGGGTACGACTCTTCGCTCGCAATGCTACGGGATCTGAAAGTTCTAGGTCCGGGAGCTGTTCGCTGTTTTGTCACTTGTCACGGTTGTGCACTCATCGCTGTTGCATAAAATAATGAGGTGGGAGCGGAAAACTAATTTTTTTCTCAAAGCACAACCACCGGTGCACCGGCACTGGCAAGGAGAAACGCACATTCTCTGACTACATGACTGGTCTGTACGAGTGTAGTACATGACAAGTCCGTGTGTTGACTAGTTTTCTGAGTCTTGTGACTAGAGTCTTGGTGTAGCTACCCCAGCACGGCAGTGCGGGAGTAGTTCCGTGTGTGATGAGTTTGTTGACTACTACTACTACTAGCAAGAGTACATAACCCGTACTCTTGCTACTACTAGTACACAGCTAGCATGCATGCAGCGCATTGCTAGAGCCGTAGAGGTCAGTGCATGTCGACGGAAAAAGTCCAACTCGGAAACGGCTAAAATACGGTATAACCTCGAGGCTTACCGAGCTGAAAATCACAGGGTACGTAGTGTTTGTAACACTGAATCGAATGGTCTTGGTCCGAAGAAGCTGCGACGAACGGTTCCCCAATCGAATGCGCTCCGAATATGGCCGTTTTGTACACAACTAGATGGTGTGGCTACCTGGCTGCACGCTGTGACGTCATCACCTGGATCTGGGTGATGTGCGCTCAAATTCGCACATGTTCGATTGGGCGTATCTGACAAACCATAGGCCGCAGCCTCCTCGGACAAAGACCATTCGACTCAGCGCCTCGAACTCTACGGACTGTGAAATTTAAATTTTTCACCGGACTTCCCCTTTAACCGGACGCCCGTGGTGCAGCGGAAACTACCCTGATTCAACAGGAGTCCGCTTGATACAGGGACGCACATTCGATCCTTGGCACTTTGGTTCAAGAAAAGGTGTCCGGTCAATACAGGATTCCACTTGGACAGGGTCCAGTAAAAATGGGTCAGTGCTTCACATAATCGGTTTCTCCCGTACTGTTCTTCTCTTTTTCTTGCAGGCGCCAATGAGTGGATGAGCCCTAAACTCCTACCAAGGGGTAAGGTATAGTTCTAGGCAGCAGCAACGTTGGGTACCCAGTCACCTCATACAGCCTTGAGGTCTTTGTACGTTCCTTGTGATTACGATATGGAGAGGTGCGGCTGCTCTAGAGAGTCGTCTCAAATCTATCACATGACTAAACGGGACATCACATGACCACACGGGACATCACATGACCACACGGGACATCACATGACCACACGGGCACCACATGACCACACGGGACATCGCATGACCACACGGGACATCACATGACCACACGGGACATCGCATGACCACACGGCACAGCCATGTTGGTTTTAACTCCACTCCACCCCAGCATCTATGGGTCACATGATGTTGGCCATGTTAGTTGTTCGACTGTCCACAGGACATGATCACTTTCTACATACGTGCAGTCACATGACTGTCATGATCACTTTCTACATACGTGCAGTCACATGACTGTCATGATCACTTTCTACATACGTGCAGTCACATGACTGTCATGATCACTTTCTACATACGTGCAGTCACATGACTGTCATGATCACTTTCTACATACGTGCAGTCACATGACTGTCATGATCACTTTCTACATACATGCAGTCACATGACCAAGATAAGCAGTGTACTGTCTAGCCCTATGCCCTTGAAGCCATGCCAATCCTTACTGCAGTAGGCCTGTGAATGTACTGAACCTAGTGTGTGTGTGTGTGTGTGTGTGTGTGTGCATGCGTGCGTGCGTGCGCGTGCGTGTGCGTCTGTGTGTGTGTGTCTGTGTGTGTGTGTGTTTGTGTGTGCTGCTGCTGCTATGGTGTGCGGGTGGGTATGTTGGTGTGTGTTTATGCAGCTCAAGGTCTTCTTGAATTGGCGCTTGGAAGGATAGTATCCTCCGAACAACAGCTGATTGCTTGCTGCTCTGTCTCTGCAACTGCACTGTTGCGGCGGCTGCGCTGCCGCTCTACCTGTATGCTGTGTAGAAGTTCCAGAGATCTCTCTAGTCTGTTCTAAATTATTCAGCTTTGGAAAGGTTCTCCGTAAATCAGCCGACGCAGTCAGAGAACATGTGAATGCTTTGCTGGGGTACTCTGAGAAAGGGCAAGGGATTAATAAAGTTCCTCACACTGTGGAGAACGGTGGAAAATCTATCCACCTACCTATCTATCCATCCATCTCTCTGTCTATCTATCCATCCGTCTGTCTGTCTACCCATCCATCTGTCCACCTATCTACCTAACTATCTATCTATCTACACAAGGCAGAACAACACAGACGAATAAGTTTCTTGTGACTCCGAGTTTCGTGTTCGAACAATCATCAGACGTTCGTCTGATGAATGTTGTGTTTTTGAACACGAAAGCTCGTCTCATGAGTGTTTTGAAGACGAAACTCGGAGTCACGAAAATGTTATTGGTCTCTCCTGTTCTGCCTTGTGTAGTACGCTCTGCCCGTGTTAGCGTATTGAGCACTATTTTGCAGCAAGGACCTCAGACACGTTATCTATCTATCTTTCTCTACTTGCATCTTCAATCTCCGGACAGATAGCCGTGTTTGACCTTGTTAGGTCCCATCAGCGGAGCAAAGATTGTACGAACGAATTGCAATGAAGTCTACTGAGCAGCAATGCACTTTTACATCAGCTCATAGCTTCAAAGTCAGAGTGCTCGAACTGCAAGAAACACAGCGAGCTATTTTCTCTCTCTCTCTCTCTCATTAACCTTTCCCTAACTTGGCAACTGCTCACCGTCGCATCACAGTGGTTCAGTCGTTAGCAGGGTCGGTGCTAGCGGAACTCCCCGTCTCGTCTTCTATGATGATGTAGATCAGGAGTTGAAGGTATGTGCTTTGAAACAAGGGATGTGTTGTCTGTTGACTCCACAAGTCAGAACAAAACTGGGTGTAGTCACCTGCTGTGTGGGTGTGCTCAGTTTGTGTATTTTCATTCATGTGGATGGGTGTTGTGAGGAGAGAAGAGTGCATGTTCGCTTTGAAGCTACCTTGAGTGAGCACACATGCACACCTATGTATTCCAACTCTCTCTCTATCTCTGTCTCTCTCTCTCTCTCTCTCTCTCTCTCTCTCTCTCTCTCTCTTCCTTCGCAGGTTGAGGAGATTACACGCCAAACCACCGAGGACGACATCTCCAACTGGTTGGTCGGAGAAGGATTCGATCCAGAGCAGGCGATGAAGGACGCCAATGCTATGCCCGAACAGGACGAGGAGCCCGAGGAGGAGAGGCAAGCTCGCGAGGCCGCCGGAGAGGAGGTTCCAGGCGACGATGGTGGAATGCCTGCCGTGGACGCCACGGGACAAGATGACAGCACAGAACCATACATGTTCAATGACGAGATTCCGGACCAGGAACACGAGGAGTTGTAATGTCACTCCGTCTTCTCTCAACCCGTAATCAAATTTTCGGCTATAATTTCATTTTCTGTTGTTGTCCAATCACTATGTTGGTTTGGTTAATTGTCCGGAGACTGTTGTGATTTTCTAACCTCTCCGGTTTCTTTTTATATTATTCTCTTTCTTCTACTTGCTGGTTGCTGCTGGAACAGCTGCATGGTTGGCATGGTCACCATTCCAATGACGTCCTGCGCCTCAAACAGTCACCGTACTGATGGCCAGGATTGATGTAATGCGAGTCCCGTTGCAGTGCCCCCCGGGCCGACCACCCGTGGGTGTGCTGTGCTGCGGTGGCTTGCTATGGTGTAGCCGGCTGTGTGTGCTGTTCCAGTTCATTGCGCTATACCACACACTACACGCAGAGCTTGTCACACATGCTTCTCTGCTGATAGTGATAAGCATGGAATCACTTTCTCGATGTTGTGTGTGGTGTGTGTGTGTGTGGGGGGGGGGGGGGGGGGGTGCTCTTTAGCATAACATTAGTAGTGCATACAAGCATGTCCAATGTGATGCAATACATGTTTGCCGTCTTTCTGTGGATCTTTGCCTGGCAAGGAGATGGAAGTTGCCCCGGCATGTTACATCCACGTTGCCTCTGTATACGCACAGTCAACGTTGCAAATGCTATGTAATCACTGCCAGCCGGGGACGGAAACACGGCGTTGTTATTCGCGACGCTGGAAGTAAACAGTCAAGACTTATAGTGGTTCCTTGCATGGTCTGAAGACTGAAGGCAGTGCGTGTCCTGAATCTTTATTCCCGTGGCTGTTGTTATCTGAGGTTGTACCGTTGTAATTTGCAAGGTTGACAGCATACTGTAGTTATGAAGAGTTATACAGTCAGATCTCACCGCTTATCCGGTCCTCGCTTATCCGGATCCCTTGCCATCCGGTAGTGGTTACCGATTTACAGCATATGCCATGCACATAAGTATGTGTGTCCGATTATCCGGTTCCCTCACCTATCCGCATATTTTTCTGGAAAACGGATGTGTGCGGTTATGCGAGGTCTGACTGTACTGCTCATGCTGCATCTATTCGCAGAGGTATACATACTCTGATCAAGCATAGTGGAGGCATTGCACGAGTAACACTTCATAAGTTGGTTGGGAACTTGGGGATTACTGAAAACAAACGTGTGGTAACCCAGATGCAGATGTGCAAACTTTGCTTTATAAACTCTTGTGTGTGTGTGTGGGGGGGGGGGGGGGGGGATACAACCACTGTAGTCCTGCAAGTTAAACATCATAACCACAGCTGCAGACTCCATGCGCTGATAAGACACCCCAAACCTAGACCGGGGTCAATCCACCAAACACCACACCACCACAGACATGCAAGTCATGTAGGACTGGTATAACTTATCGGGCAAATAGAAGCTCTCGGAAACATAAAAAATATGTTACCGAAAATAATAGATAAAAATAATCACCATTGTGCACCAGCTGTGCAGAAAACACACTAGCTGGCTAGTATCAACTACAATGTAAATGCATACATGGCTCATTGTACATGCATTCGTATCTCTAAGGCTAGGGCTAGCATCTAACCACTAGTATACTTCAAGTGTCCGAGAACAGTAGTCACAATCTCGGGAGGAGCTAATTAACTAAAGCCTCTATTTTCAATGCTATGGGGTCGCGGTGTTTTACAGAAGTCTGAGCACTCGCTGCCTGTACACCATGTGACCAGGCAGCACTGTTGGCAGCAAAGTATCCCGTCTTGAAAAGTATCCCGTCTTGAAAAGTGTTCCGTTTCGGAAAGTAATCCATCCCGGAACGTATCTCATCTCGGACGCAGGGAACATCCACTGAAGTCAGTGGAACAGCTCAACTAGCTGCACCGATGCTAGTAGACCGCGAGCAGCACATGCCATTCCGACTGAACCAGTTTGCGCACAGGCTGTGGCAGAGTCAAGGCGGTTCATCCAGTGTGCCTACCCTTCAACATAGGCACCGTGTGTTGCTCCGTGTTCTGACGCCAGCAGTCCTTCTGACCCTCACAATGCCAATAGACAACCTAGAGCATGCTCTACTAGTAATCTTTCCCTCAAACCAGTGAATACTGCTGGTCAAGTCTAAAATACACACTTTCACGCATACTACCGTTGAGAAGGGTGTTCTCCGTCAACACACACGCACGTGCACTGTACACATACACACACACGGACACTAACACACACACACTGACACAAGCACGCACACTCAAATTATCGACGTAAGATGATTGCCGATGACGACCGTCTCGCTTACATCCTGACCGCTGCGGTGGTTGTGGTGTCGTGTGGACGCTCCGTGACGTCGTCGACCGGTGAAACTACCGCGTCGCTCCTTCTGCCGCTTAGTACCGGTGCGTGCCAGTTGCAATACCTTATCATCCAGCATGTTGTCAAGACCGACGTTGAGTTCATCACGACTGGATCTCAACCGACCTGGCAAAGTACTGAGATTCCCGCTCGGTTCTATCAGGTCGTCTTCCGATGCCTCGAGCTCGTCCTGCGAGCTCCAGTCCATGGATCCCTTGGATGGACGCCGGTGGTTCATGGGCGCGACATACGGATCTGAGGTATTGCGTGTGTGTACGATCGTGTCTTCGCCTACTGGTTCTTCCGGCAAGCCGTGGATGAGTTCGTCCTCTCCGTCTCCAGCAGAGGGGAAGCTGTGCCGGGGGAAAGAGAAACGTGCCGTGCTGTCGTCCGCTTCACCAGGTAGACCACCCATACTGCAAAAGAGAGAGAGAGAGAGAGAGAAAAAAAAAACGGTCAGCTGCTAGTTTGTGGTGTGCTTTTGTATACACGAAACATATACACACACACACACACACACACACACGCATACACATACGTACACACATACGTACACACCAATGAGTATGTACCCATTACAAACACGTACACATATACAAGACACGGAAGTGCATAACGTACATTGCTCCCACATCCACGCACACGTACATGTACATGTACATGTACACGTACATGTACATGTGCGAGGCTTTCTACTTGTAGTCACAGTGATTGACTGTAAATTGGAGAACAAAATGTTAAAATCGCACCAGTATCTCTGCACTTGCTCCTCTCCCCTGCCCTGCATCTGCCCCTCCCCCTATCCTGTATCCCTGCACCTGCCCCCCCCCCGTCCTGTACCCCTGCGCCTATGTATCCCTGCAACTGCACCCACCCCTCTCCCCTATCCTGTACCCTTGCACCCACCCCTCTCCCCTGCACCCCTCGACCTGCACCCCTCGACCTGTACCCCTCGATCTGTATCCCCTGCCCATGTACCCCTCGACCTGTACCCCTCGACCTGTACCCCTCCACTCTGGACCATGCCCAGAGCAAGTAAGGCAAAATAAGGTTCAGATTTTTTGATGACTTTCGGACTACATCATGATTGATTACAGTTGCTGTGTCACACTTTAAGTGAGTTGGGGCAGCTCGAGAGTGACAGAAATACAGACAGACAGGCAGGCATACAGAGAGAGAGAAAGAGAGAGAGAGAGAGAGTGTGTGTGTGTGTGTGTGTGAGTGTGTGTGTGTGTGTGTGTGTGTGTGTGTGTGTGTGTGTGTGTGAGTGTGTGTGTGTGTGTGTGTGTGTGTGTGTGTGTGTGTGTGTGTGTGCATGCATGCGTGCGCGTGCATGTGTGTGTGTGTGTGTGTGTGTGTGTTTGTGTAAGAGTGTGTTTGTGTAAGAGTGTGTTTGTGTCGGTGCAAGAGTGTATAGCTACACAACATGACACTAAGTAAGTTTGAAGGCCTTGAAGAAAAGTCATTACATCAATAATACCCCCCCCCCCCACCCCCCGCCCTCCCTCCCCCCGGTCATAACTTACGTGAACGCATTCTTCTTGAGCGGAACAATACTTGGCTTGAAGAAGACATTGGCCGACACCGGGGTTTTGAAGAACGCCGAGGAGAGATCGCGAACCTCAGGTCTGGGATCGCTCTCCAGCTCGTGGGCCGACATGCCAAAGTCGTCGTAAACAGAGAATCGCTCCTTACGCTGACGACCGCTGTCTCTCTGCGAGCCTCCGCCACCACCGCGATGCATGCTGTTCATACGCGTTGTGGTGGACTGCAGCTGCACAGTCTGCGTCTCGGCGTAGCTGCGGTACACGTAGCGTCTCCTGCAACACCACGCAATGGGAGGCAGCAGAATATATTTTTTGAATTCTTTATTGTCACGATGGCACCATCGCCAATAAGAGATACGTTTACGAGAAGGTGAGATGCTGTGTGTGGGGCTGTGTGTTATGCAGTTGGAAAGTAATTCACATCACTTTGAATTTTACAAGTATGGGAGAGGGTGAGCGCTGCAGGAGCAGATTGAGTTAATCAGCAGTGAGTAGATTTCTTGTTCGAAAGCAGGTCGAGAGGGAACGTCCCGAATGCTAGCAGGGAGGGCATAGGAGTATTCTAGGGACTATTACAGTGGGGAATCTTTACAGCGGTCGGTTTTGGTGGGTGGGAGGTGCTGACATGGACTTACTATTGGCACTGATCATTGTTACAAGGCTGTTTTAGCTGCAGCGGTCATTTTCAGGGGGAAAAAGGTGCAGCTCCTGCTGCAGCCATTGGTGGGCATCAATGAATTACCGTACTGAAGTAAACAATTTTCGGCACATACTTATTTTCGGCAATTTTCGGCCTGGTCATATTCGGCCGAAATTTTGTTTTGCAAGGTTCAGTGTGACAGTGTATACAGGCGGCAGCAGTACAGGCCGAATATTTGAATGGGTAGAAATGGGTTTTAGCACTGGGAGGCCGAAATTTGAATGGGCCGAAAAATTTGTCGACTTAGTCGGTCAAATTTCTCTGTCCAGAACGGTACTACGGTACTGCTCAACGAAATGCAGACGTATCACTCAAGTACGCCATGCCGGGGCGTTGTGCAGCCCTAGACCTGCAAACTCCGGGCTGTGAAAGGGGTGCAAGGCGCGAACTTGACTCAGCGGGCGACCGGGTTTCATTGAGTAGCACTGTCCTTAGCAGGGCCTGCATTGCACTATCAGGCATTTCACCCGTTGTTGGACGCTCAGAATCTGGGTTGGATAAAGTGCAGATTTGTATAGCAGCTGCAGGTACTTTCCATTGAGGTTCCATGGTATACGTATTAATTTGTTATGTTGAATGGGAAGAGTGTGCATTCACTTTCACTGTTCTAAATATTCAAAGCACCCATTTTGCATAGCAAGATGTCTCCAGATGACATCACTAAGGTATTGTGAACATGGTCTATTGTAAGCATAGACTAACGGATGCCTACTGAGGAGTCAACCAAGAAAAAAAAGTTGGGCCTGTCCGGGATTTGAACCCGGGACCTCTCGCACCCAAAGCGAGAATCATACCCCTAGACCAACAGGCCTGCACATGGCAGCACTGGATCCAACACCAAACACAACACAGCAGGCGGTGTGACCGTGAAACCGGGTAATCCCCAAATCGCATCCATCTCGCAGCTCGCGCAACTGCCGCAACTGGGCCATCGCAAAATTGAGCTTGGCCATTCGCGATGCGACAAGCGATTCGGCGTACGATTTTGACCTTTTCTGCAGCAAAGTTGTACAAAGGTTCAATACAAAAGAGGAAGGACCAAGGAACTACAAGTTAGGCTATACTGTCCACTAACACCACCAGTTACTAAACAATCAGCTCAAGCGGTCCTTTCTCTTTTGTATAAATTAATCCTTGGCTCTCCATCCGAGTCCAACGGTTCAAGAGTTGTTTGTAGATTTGTAAAAGTTGTACTAAGCTATGTGAATACCATGGTTACGTGCTCACCACTATTGAACTTCGCTCGCCAAATTAGCAAGGCGTCGTCGCATCGCTGACTTCTTCTGTGAATGGTATTTTGCGAGTTCGCATCGCACGCCGCCGTTGTAGATTGCGTCGCATCGCACATCTCGTCGCAAAAAAAGCTTCTGTGAATTACAGTATGCGTAATGAGCAAAGTACGTAACCGCCACGAGCGTGCAACTGCTTGCACAACCTCTATACAGCGCTGCGACGGCAGAACTTCACATCACATGACATACTCCCACATGTAGTACAACAGGTTAATCTGGCAAACAGTGCAAAGTGACCACAAGAGAGTTGAGACCCAAAGCAGCGCTGTGTACAACCCCTGTATCTACCACACATAGGGTGCAAATAGATAATGTGTACGGATTTGTCACGTGATGTGAAGCTCTGCCGTCGCAGACGCAGACCCCATAGCTGGAGTTGCACATTATTAGAGAGTGATTTTCTCACCGGGTGACATTTCGTTGTTGTCTATACCCATCTCTTCCAGCTGACTGTCGACAGGCCCAGTCTCTTGCTCTGTTCATAAGCATGGCTTAACTTCACCTAGGGTTCCCAGTAACAGGGCAGTAGCCGTTTGGGACTCCCCTAGTAAAAAAATTACTTCTACTACCATGCTACCGTCACTCCCACCCACCACCACCATCATCTTTTCATGAATGGGCTGTAGAGATTCAACTCTGAAGCTGTGTTCCAAACTGGCGCGTGCACGCGGTACGCTTGCAGTTCATGCGTGCCCAAACGCGCGCTCAGGCTTTCACAAAAAAACAGCAATTCAACTCGTATTTAGGGCGTGTGACGCCTTCGAGTACTAATTGTTTGACCTCGCCAGTCAAAGTGACTGGCATGTACGCGCCTGATACGCGCTGAAACTTCCAACATGTTGGAATTTCCATTTCGGCGCGTTTCCGTACGCATGGCGCCCCAAAAGGGCCAAAAGTCAGCAAAATAGGCACAAACGCGCGGTTTCACACGTACACGCGCCAGTTGTGAACACAGCTTGACCGTATGCATGAGGACCATGCACTCACCTGCCAGTGTTGGTTTTCTTGCCCGGTGACATCTCATTGTTGTCTATACCCATGCTACCATCACCTCCGCCCACCACCATCATCTTCTGTGCACGGTAGTGACGCACCATGAACGTCACCAGGATGGTAAGCAGCAGCATAATCGCTATGGAGATGACTATGATGCCGATGGCAAAGCCGTCGGAGACGCCCGCGATTATACCGTCTGAAGATGCACGCACACGGACACGGACACAGACACATAATGCACACATACACGCATGTATGCACGCACACAGGGCACATGCACACACACATGCACACGGCATGTCCCATTTTGTATTAGCAAAAAGTACATAACGAGAACACTGGCTGAACAACCTCGATCCAGTGAATGCTGCGATGACGGCAGAATTTCACATCACGTGACATGGTTGAAAAGGATACGCTCGCAAATAGTGGACAGTGCACAGGAAAGGGTTGAACCCGAAGCAGGGTTGCGTACAACCCTGGATCTATCATGCACAGGTTGCAAACAATGTGTACGGTTTTGTCACGTGACGTGAAGTTCTGCCATGCGCAGACCCCACAGCAGGAGTTGCGAACGGTTTGGTGTTGTGTACTTTCGATGTGAATAGGTAGGTCCGTGAAACTCAATGTTACATACTCGTACAGCAATGAAGAGCTTGCTCCAGTATGTGGATCAGTGTATGCCTCATGATTGCACTTGAAATAAAACACTTTCATTATGTTCATCTCTTTTCCTGTAGTTTTGGGGTGCCAATCCTGTGCACCAGCACTGCATCCATAACAACGGATGTACGGTAGCGTACGGTAGAGTATTGATTATCCGCACCCCTGTCAACACGGGGCTGTCTCAATAGGGGTTCAGGCGGGCAGTATGTTCACATGACCGAGCTGCCACACTTCTGCCTAAAGCATGTACATGATCCTTCATTTTTCCATCACTGCTCATTTATCTTCGGCAGTACCACAGGAACTGAACACACTCCAGCTCCTCAGCATGAAACTAAGGAGATAAACTTGGACAGCAGCCTGTTGCCAATTGCCGAGCATCTCGTGCACCCTTAGGATGGTGAGGAAACCAGTTAATTCATTCCTGTCTCTTCAGTTCAGTGCATACGAGCATTTTGAAAGATTGATCGATGGGATAGTTGACTTTCAGACGCCCAGTGAAAAGGCAGATTTCGCCTGTGCCTATGGTCAGGGCCGGCGGAACCGGTCAGGCTGGTCCGGCCATGGCCGGACCACTTTCCCAGCTGGATGGTCCATGTGATTCGTGCAAAACCGGTGTAAAAAATCCAGAGGAACACGACTCGACTGTACTGCCGACGTGTGATGTGCTTCGAAGTAGCTCAGGACTCCGTGACCGGCACTGTATGGCTTTAATCATATGGTTAAAAGAAGGTTGTGTTTGTGTTCTTTTACTATAATTTTCTGCATTTTCTGGAGCCTTAAAAGACGCCCAAATTCGCTCTATTTCACGTAAATTTTAAATATTTCTCCCGGGGGAGGTCCCCCGGACCCCCCTCAAAGGTTGGCCGGACCACTCACAAACTCCTTCCTCCGGCCCTGATGGTGAAGTAAAAAATAGCTAACAACTTACAAACAAACAATGAACTCGGATGGAGAGCCCAGGATTATTTATAAATAGTAAAACGGACCAAGGAACTCCAAGTTACACTATAATGTCCACTAACACCACCAGTTACTAAACAATCAGCTCATGCGACAGTGGACATTATAGTGTAACTTGTAGTTCCTTGGTCCTTTTTACTATTTATTTTATAAACAAACATTGCCTGACATTCTACTGTAGGTATGTAACTTATGGGTAATGAAACATGACTGTCACTTTCACAGCAGCACTGGCAGCACAAACATACCGTCATCAGAGGTCTTAGTGCCACTATCTAGAGTGGGACTGGTCGGCTCAGTGCTCATCACTTGACTTGTGTCTGTTGCTGGGCTTCCGCCATTGCTGCTGCCATTGCTGCCATGGGAACCAGTGCCGGTGATCATGTGACTTGGATCTGATGATATCACCGGCGGAGAAGCAGACGCTGTGACAGGCGACGCTGGAGCAGCAGCAGTGGCTGTGTGTGATGTCGTTGATGAGGTCGTCGTCGCTTGGCCGACAGGACAGGAGTCGTTGGTCATGCTGGGCAATGCAGTTTGTGTGCTCAGCTCAGCGCTGGTCAAGCACAGCTGTCGTGCGTCGTCACCACCGTCGCTCTCAAGGCAACGGCTCGTTGCCACGGGGCACGTGACGCTGGTGTTGACGCAGCGCTGTAACACACACAGCACACGCGCACAGACATCCAGTCAGTCAGTGGGTGCGTGTGCATACAAACATGTACATAATGGAACATATGCACATGCACACACACACACACACACGCACACACACACGCACACACACACACACACACACACACACACACACACACACACACACACACACGCATACACACACACATGTGTCAGAGTTAGCCTACTGACGGCTGCACGCACTGCTTCTACAGATGAACAAGAACAGATGCTGCTGGTGTGGTTATTGTCGTCGTAGTCGTTGTTGTTTTTCTGCCATCGTTGTCGCTATAGTCATCACTGTGGTTGGTGTTTGGGCATTGCATGATTCTTTCACACAACATTGCGTTCGACAGATCTGTGAACCTCTCGCTATTTGATCTCCTATGCGGCTCGTGTTAGAAAGACTGCGTCGGCAAATACTTTTTAAACTCCGCTGTGCAGTTGGATAATATGCACGTACTAACTCCCGATACCGAGGACTTGACAGCTCCCTAACTGATGCAGTTACCCGTTCAAAGGCTGCAGGGATGAATTTATTGTCATATTTTTGCATGGCAGTTTCGGCTATACAAAATCACAATTGTGTAGCACTCTTTGATTTTGATAAGCATATTTCTTTGAAGGTTGGGTGTTTGCCACATTGTCCTTCTTGAGAGTGATAGCCCATTTCAAAAAACCCGACTGAATCATACATGTGCACGCAGATTGAGTGCCTGAACCACATAGTAAACACTGAATTGTATGCATGTTACTTGACAGCGCAGGCTAGGCATGGATAGTCTGTATGTATCGCAGTTTTCTGCGAGTCATGGTGACTTTTGAGTAGCAGTAGATTGATTTTGCATCGCAAACTGCGATGCGATACAGGATAAATTCATCCCTGGGCTGTTAGAGCATTCGCTGGGCACTCGTTTGAACACTCGTTCAAGTACTCGTTTGATAACTCGACATTTGAGCACTCGTTTGAGCACTCATTTGAGCACTGATTTGAGGACTCATTTGAGCACTCATTTTAGCACTCATTTGAGCACTCATTCGAGCACTCTTTTGAGCACTCTTTTGAGAACTCGTTTGAGCACTCTTTTGAGCGCTTGTTTGAGCACTCGTCCTGCCATCACTCAACAACCTCTCACCTGATACACGCGCACATGGTACTGAGCTGTGCTGCACACATCCGCCAGCTGTAACATGACCAGCCTGGGAAGTGGGTCAGGTGAGGACTCGTAGCTAACCAGATACACAGACTGTAGAGCTGATTGATAGGCAGACTCTGGAGCTACACCACTGATCAGTAACTGCTGGCCACCTTCAATACTCTCCATCTGTATGGGGTAGGGGGAGATGGAAAAAGAGAGGGAGAGGGAGAGAGAGAGAGAGAGAGCAAGTGAGTGAGTGAGACACACAAACACACACACGCCACACCACACACACACATACACGCACACACACACACACACACACACACACACACACACACACACACACACACACACACACACGCACACACACACACACACAGGCGCATGCACACACACACACACACACACACACACACACACACACACACACACACGCGCACGCACACACACACATACAAAGAATAATGAAAACAGTTATAGACGAAGGGTTCCTAACTAATCCAATGAGCTAGGAATATAGTCTACTGGGCAACCCATTGTTCTACGTACGCGGAAGCGTGAGATGACTACTATGTTTAGGGCGCGTTCGAATTGTCTTCATCAACTGTTCAAACAAATTTTTAAAGAGATTAGTTGAAGTGTCCCATTAGAATGGTTTCTATCATTTTAGAGTTTTTCAGTGGAATTGTCATGGCGATGATGACGTCCGATCAGGTCGACCCTCTCCACGTACTACGTGACGTAGCTATTCCAAACTCTTCGGAACAAATCCACCTCTCCCATCGGATGAGGTGGTGGGGTTTCGAGGAGTTTCGAGGAGTTTCGTTTTTCTGAAGAGGCAAATAAGGCCACCTCTTCAGAAAAACGAAACTCCTCGGAAAGTCAAAGAGTGACAATTCCAACGCGCCCTTAGCCTCAGTTTTTTATGGCAAATCTATTGCCATTTACCAATGACCTGAATATGTTAAAAGCTGCTGGGATGACGACAACACCATAGCTCAGTGGGTACATGCAGAGTGCCACTGACCTATAGCAGATGTCCCTGGTTCGAGTCCCGGACGGCTGTAGCAGTCAATTCGTCTTCAGACGTTCTCCCCTCTTTCCCATGTCCAACCCCTCAAACTAATGAATGGAGAAAGCAGGGGAAACGATTGTTCGAAATAGTGGTAGCAACTTCGGCGATCATTTTATAGGAAAGTTGATTGCTCCCCACACCAGAGCACGCGCTTTTCTCGCCGTGTGCTCTGGATGGCAGTCGCAAGTCAGTCAAGTGTGCAGTCAAGTCATGCAACATACTAGTTGATATCCAGCTCTTCCCTAGCTTGCCCGCGCTTCTCTTACACTTCAGTTCCCCTTTCATTTTTTGTCCTTTCTCCCCTCTATTACCGTCATGGCTGGCTATCGTCCACATCACCTTTTCATTGGTTAGTGCCACGTGATTGCGAATAAATAAATCAATAAAATCGGCGGAAAGCGCGGGCTCCCGTGGAGCAACAAACATCCCTAAGAAATACTTGTTGTTTGTGTTTATCTTACCTGCAGCCCATTGGACAGACTTGCACTGGTGGCAAAGCGTTCCAGGCATCCGTAGACGCAGGCCACCTCGCTGGGTGACAGAGCGGTGGGAACGATGTGCACGCTTGCGAACGACACAGCTGCCACGCCACCACCCAGGGTCATGGTGCCGTTCTTGTCTGCCTGTGGAGCGCTCATCTGTAGAGTATGCAAGCAATAGCAAAACAACAGTGATGGCGGCCCTCATTATGATGATGTTGATGACAGCAGCAATATCAGCACCAGAAGCAGCAGCAGCAGCAGAAGAAGAAGCAGCAGCAGCAGCAGCAGCAGCAGCAGCAGCAACAGCAACAGTAACAGCAGCAGCAGCAGCAACAGTAACAGCAGCAGCAGCAGCAACAGTAACAGCAGCAGCAGCAACAGCAACAGTAACAGCAGCAGCCTTCTCCTGTTCTATTTATTTCCGAATTTGGGTTGTCTTTTTACTTTGGGTCTTACTTCATGGTGGTGTTGTGAACTTTGAATAAACGCGTTCTCAAGTGACAGCAGCAGAAGCAAAAGCAGCAGCAGTAACAGCAGCAGAAGCAGCAGCAGCAGTAACAGCAGCAGAAGCAGCAGCAGCAGCAGCAACAGCAGCAGAAGCACTGCCACCAGCAGCAGCAGCAGAAGCAGCAGCAGCAGCAGCAGCATCGTTGTCGTCATCATAATCATCGGTGCCAGCGACAGCAGCGACAGCAGCAGCAGTAATAGCAGCAGTAACAGTAGCAGCAATGGCAATGGCAATGGCACTGGCAGTAAGAACAACAACAGCAGTAATACCAGGCACACATTGCTACATCTGGTCGAATATAATTTTAAAATAGAGCACACCTGAACATTCCCTGGTCGTCACACATTTAACCCTTGTACACATTTCATGAGGTGAGGGACCCCAACAGGCACGACGGAACCGGTCCGGTTGGTCACGCCATGGCGGACCAAAAGATTTTGTCCACCAACGTGTGTTTACTGCTGAGGAGGTCATGTGACTACCCCGCTACATATCATACACAAACTGTATGAAAGTCATGTGACTACCCCGCTACATATCATACACAAACTGTATGAAAGTCATGTGTATACCCCGCTACATATCATACACAAACGGTATGAAAGTCATGTGACTACCCCGCTACATATCATACACAAACTGTATGAAAGTCATGTGACTACCCCGCTACATATCATACACAAACTGTATGAAAGTCATGTGACTACCCCGCTACATATCATACACAAACTGTAGGGTATGGCGGGACCAATCTAAAACTGCTTCCACCGGTCCTGCCCAACACTTGCGTACATTCCGTGAAATGAGGTTCAAACAATGACAATTTCTGCACTGAGTACTATGTATAGTCTTCATCAGTGATCCAGGTAAAGGGTTGATCAACCTGTGTATTCTGAGATACGTCAGACGATTATGTTTTCGGGAAACACTTCAAACCCGGATGTCACGGTCAAGCGCGACATTTGTAACTTCGTTTAGGTCAGCTAGTGATTTTCACTTACCCCGCTTACACGCACTAGCTCGGCAGAGTTGACAAAGGCACGCACACCGCCAGTACTACCGCTGCTAGTCGGGTCAAACACGACAGCCACGTGAATCCAGGTGTGAGTGCTGCGTAGGATGTGTGACGCCGGGGCCGCGAACACCCAGCTGCCCGTAGACAGGGTGACGTGCAGCTGGGTGCGATTACGCCGAACCTCCACGCTGTAGAGCGCGCTTGAAAAGCTCCCGAACAGTGGGACGGTTTTGGTGAGCAACGTTGCAGCGTCAGTCGTGCTGTTAAACAGTACCCATGCCAGTACCGTCTGCTTACCATCAGAGCTGTACGTGACGTTACTCGCCGACGTCGAGACCGCCACGCCGTGTCCATTTCCGGCCGTGTCGAGAACCGTGAGATTGTACGCGTCGTCGTCGGCGGTGCTGTCGGCGAGGCTAGTGCCCGTTGCTGTGGCGATGATATCCGTGGTGGCATGGCTGCCGGTGCAGAGGGATAGCTTGGCGGAGGGCGCTACCTGGGAACTGCACGTCCAGTTTGTGAACGGACACGTCATCCACCGCTCCGATGTGAAGTTGTGCGTGACACGCAGGGAGGAGACGTTTGAATGTCCTGCAGCTAGCTGCGCGAGTTTGGCTACAAACACAGGCTGCCTGTTCTCAGAGCCGGTCCACTCGATGCTTCTGTGCAGGTTCGACAAGCTTGGTAAGGCCTGGCATGGCAGACTCACCATGCACAGTACCAGTAATGTTATCAGGGTTATGCTTATTCGCTGCTTCAAGTGTGGCGGCCACCTTGTACTTGTAGAGGTGCTCCTGAATGGCTCTTTCCGCTTCGCCAAGCTCATTGCGTTCCGCTGGGGTCCGTGGTGATGGTTCCGCAAGACGTCGATCGTCGCTCCCTCGCGCTCCGGTAAGCACACATCATCACGTCTCCGCTCCATGCTTGTCGAACTGGAACGAGATACGTGGCGCTCAGTGCCCTGAGCCACCGCCGCCGCAGCCGCCTCGTGTCTTCCACCACACATCGTCCTAGCTGTCGAATGTGAGCTGAGCCGGTGCTCCGATGCCACCTCCTTCGAACGGTCGCCGCTGCCTTACACGCAACGCCGCTCCGATTATCTGATCACTGTTGGGTGGGTTGAGCCGTTCTTTCGTTTCCTCAGCTTTCTTGAGTTCAACCACGCAACTTCTGTACCGCGCCGGGTTGGCAACCAAAGTAATACTTGAACTGAGCGCAGTGGCCCGACGCGCAGACCCTAAGTTCTAACCATCGGAGCATGTAAAACAAGAGCTCCGAACTCCACTCGAGACGACACCACCACCAACCAACCGTGGAGGTACCGAACAGGCTCCGCCCGTCGACCTTCACAGCGCCAACTGCTTGCTTATCTTCAAATCACCACCGATGATGGGCCTCCGGTATCTCCAAACACAAGGACTTACATACACAATGACAACGGAACAATACTATGTACGTGCTTAGGCACCACTGGCACTACACCTTGAACCGCCAATGATTATGTTAGCTTGGTGGTAAGGACGAAAAACTACAGCCACCTGAATGAGCGTTCATGCACTCAACCGTTGTTCCTCGAGCTAGGCAAGCGATGACGAATGGGCAGGGGGACCAAGCTGGTTTTGTGGATAGCTTTGCGGCTCGGGCAAGTACTGACTGTACAACGAGCGGGGTATCTCTTCTGCTCGCTCAAACACTCCCACAACTAGACTGAAAGGAACAACAGTTTTTCTGATCACGCAGGTAGAACTCTGGAATGATGAATTCGATCCCGTTCAAGCAACTATCCTGAACGCGCCAGTCAGGGTTTCGCATGCACCGACACGACAGACACTTAGTGTCAGATAGATCTATCCTGCCCCTGGCCTGGTCTACCTGATCTACGCCGGACAGCACTCGATCAGGGAGCATTCTTGCACTCCCATGCGATATGCGCCATGTCTATGACTGGCCGGGCGGTGCGAAGACTCTCCGGTAGACTACGGTAGATCTACCACTCGAACACAGGTAGTTCTGTTTCTGTTCACAGCTCCGATTCGACCTGTCGTGGTTTGGTGTCACATGTCGCTGCTCCGGGTTGCTCCTGTGCAAACGCATCGTGATCTGCTTCGCAACGGAAACTGGATGGAATGCTGCTATGGTTGGGTGGGTGGCGGTGATCATCAGATCATCAGTCAAGCACATATTGATGGCATGGCAGGGATACTGCCCGAATAACGATGACACGACGGGGCGAGCATGCATGTCTACAACTGTCAAGCACAAGTCGACGATTGACAGATCAAAAATGCCACTGATGAGTCAGTCGGCAGATCACGTCTGCAATACTTCAGAAGGTGAGGAGGAGCCTGCCTGCCATAGTTACACTACTACTACTACAGACTACATAGTAGTCTGCAGTGTAGATGGAAAAGTGTGTTTACGGTCACTCGATTGACATGACTTTCGTGTGTGTGTGTGTGTGCCCAAGTACTACTGTCTTGGACATGGAAATCCGGTCGCACGTCTAGCGGCCCCAGGCCAGCGCCCTGGCCTGGGGCCGCTAGACGTGCGACCGGATTTCCATGTCCACGACAGTAGTTACTTCAGTAACTACTAGACTAGTGGGCGAATCGTTTTTATTTTCAATCCAAATTAGCAACAGAAACCATCAAAAAGAAGGTATAAAGCAACAGCAAATGAAGGTACAAGTATGCGAGAAACACCCACTTCCTCTACTCTACTACTACAAGTAGTAGTACATGACTGTACAGTTACTAATACTTCAGTACATCACAAAGCTACATGCATCTTTAGTTGTAGTGATATTGCCACACGTACCGGCATAGCAAAGTACAGACATGCAGAACGGATCGCACTAGGACAATCGTACTAATACTGTAATAGTAATGGATCATGGTACCGGGACATCGAGAGCCTCTCCTAATTACCGGGCAAAATATACACATTGCATGGCACATTGAATGGAAATGCAATACAAAATTCAATTGGTATACGAGTCCTCGTATCATACATAATGCACTAGCCGGGACCGGGACCGGGGTGTCATTCCGTACTTCGTCTTGCAGGTACTGATGCTGAGACCGTTGGCATTGCGGTCGGGAACCCTGCAGCGTACGGGCCCATAACATAATCGTCACCGCTGCCTCGCATTGTAGGCTGCCCAATAATTCAGCTACGTCACTTATAATGGTAATCAACCAGGTGAACTAACTAACTAGCAGCTGCTTACTGCTTCAGGACTAAGAAAGAAGGGGGGGGGGGAGAGACACTCGGAGCCAGTCTAGAGACTAGAGGATTGGAAGTTGGAACTGACGCCAAAGTAAAATACATTGTACATGCATGGCTTTTGAATCAAAATGATTGTAGTGTGTCGTGTAATCGTATACATAGATAAGACGGTTTGGTATCCTAATGGTTAGGTATACACTGCCTGGTTGGAGGATGACATCACCTTGTCAAGTTGATCATGATAATCATGGGCTAATTTTATCTCAAGCTGCTTGCCAGCTTCAAGTCACTTGAATTACATGTCATGTACATTACATGTAATGTATAATGTCGCTCATATCAAGCCTAGTGACAAATTCCAAAGCCAAAATATACTGAATACAGAGGCACATACCGCTATACCTTTTCAAGTACTTGCTAGACTAGTGTGTTGATCTTCATACTTGAAGTAAGACGTAAAGCGCGCTTGTGTGTGTGTTTGTGTGTGTTTGTGTGGGGGCGTGTGTGTGTGTGTGTGTGTGTGTACATGGTGTGTGTGTGTGTACATGGTGTGTGTGTGTGTGTTTGTGTGTGTGTGTGTGTGTGTGTGTGTGTGTGTGTGTGTGTGTGTGTGTGTGTGTGTGTGTGTGTGTGTGTGTGTGTGTGTGTGTGTGTGTGTGTGTGTGTGTGTGTGCATCCTGAAGACATGATGTGGCAGAGGCACATAACAACCGTATGATTGCCCCCTAGACATGACTGTAGCCTACAGACAAAATAAATATTAATAAATTATGCCATGGCTGGCTAACGCCCCCTCCTAGATCCTTTGCATTGGCTTCTGCGATTGGACGGTGAAATAAATAAATACTAATATTAGTGTACCACTGGCACTGTATTGTTTGTCTCCGTGTCATGTTTGACGATGACGTCATGTAACAAGGTGGAGGACACACTAGTGCACTGTGCTGAGAACAGTGTTCCTGACTGCAACCAGTCTCAGTAGAGTCTCAGGGTGCCCCCCCCCCCCCCCCCAGAATACATACTGATACAGTGATAGGGTCCGAACCGGGGGGGGGGGGGGGGGGGGGGGTGACCCCATGCGGGTATTGTAAGATGGTCGCAAGACCGGGACTCTGCCAGCGTTTACTGAGAAGCAGCAAAGTAAGAGCAAGAGTACATAACCCCCCCCCCCCCCCCCAGAGTGTGCAACGCCTGATCCAGCTCTGCATAGGGTCTTGGCCGAGCGTAATCGGATCTTTGCGTCATAATACCATACACATCTGAGGGGAACCTGGGGAGTCGCGGGGACTCTTGGATCAAAAATAACGGTGCCCTGCCTCGAGACCGGCCTTGTGCTGGTGTGGAGTGAACGCATGACATTAGAAGATCCGATTACGCTCGGCCAAGACCCTATGCAGAGCTGGATCAGGTGTTGCACACTCAGGGGGGTTATGTAATAATTATGTACGATGTACTCTCGGTAAGAACAGCTATCCGCACGAAGAATAAAATAATTCAGCCTTCCAAGGAAGTTTATCAGGAAGTTGGTTAAACTTTGAATGCTTGTTCCAAAATATCTCCAGTCAGGAAAATACAACATCGGCTACATGTACATGCATAACAGAAGCGGCACCACACGGTGCTAAGCAGGCAGTCGTAAAGTAAGAATTTTACGACTCCCTGGTGGTTAAGGCGAAATAGGAATCGGGGGTTAAAGAAACATAGAAGAAACACGCTGTTGTGCAGATCTGAACGATCAAAGTGATGCGACGTATTTACAATGCAGGTCAGTAGGCGGCAGTACTACCTACAGTACTGACAGTACACTGCTGCTCAATGCAATACAATTTTAAAGCCACGCCGGGCGCTGCGCAGCCCTACAACTAGCTAGACCTGCAAACAAACACTGGGATGTTGAACGGGTGCAGGGCTCACGCAATCGGGATTCACTGAGCAACCGTACAGTATTAGCATAATGACCGCATGTACAGTGGTTATATACTGCCAAGAGGAGCAGTCCACAGCTGTCCACAGCACAGCAGTCCACAGCTGCTGGTGAGTGCAATGCCGCAGTGTAACTCTGTGTGTGCAGGCATTACATGGAGAGCACACACTCATCGTAATGTTCAGTGACGCTAGCGCAGTGTGTCTGGCGTGACACACACATACAGCCGAATATAGCTATATTGCAATATTCCGCAGTTCATGAGCATGGCACAGGGTATAGGTAATCTCCACACACAGCAGAAAAAGATAGATTACAGTATGGGCAGTGGGTAGGCAGGAGAGGGGGTCATGACCACGCGACTTGCTGAGTTCGATTTCATCCAGCCTAGGAGGCAGGGGCGGGTGGAGGACACTATCAGCGAGTAGTAGTGACAGGAGTCTTCATCACAACTCCTGACAGAGCAGATGTATGATCGTACACCGAAGATTGGCATAGCGTTACCTGCGACGGGGTTGCCAGATGTACTACTTCGAAGTAGTCCCTGGACAATGATCAGAGATCCTCCCAGCACTGGAAACTATACTGGGCTTACAGAATAGTGCACCATCTCATGAACCACCAGCCCTGCGGTGCCTGCTGCTGCAGCAACGCGGCCGCCTGCTGGCCGTCCCGTCGCTTGCGTCGTCGTCTCCGAGGCCCCGCGGCCGTTGTCGACATCATCGTCGCGTCGTCCTCCGTATCCGCTTCAAAGTCTTCGCTCGACGGCGCCTGAGCAGCAGCATTGGCGCTGTGGTCGTCGTCATCGTCGTCCGATGAAGACTCAACATCACTGTCAGCAGCACGACCGGCCAGTGCGGGCACAAAGATGAAGCGGAAGTCACTCTCCTCCCTGTAGCGGCACGCACGCAAGCAGACAAGACAAGCACAGAGGTATATACTAACGTTAGTACTTATTTTCCACAGTACAAGCTGTACTGGAGTATAAGCTGCACCAAGGCTTTTTTTTGCGGCTTTAAAACATATTATAATGTATTCCCAGCCGGGTCACAGGTGACCCGGTGTTCTTTTTCCAAACGGGTACCCCCCTCTCCCCCCCCCCCCCCCCCCCCGATCCGGCTCTGGAGCAGACACTGTACGGCCATACATGTACGCTGGGTGTGTGTATGCATGACTGATGACATAATTGTGCCATTAATCATACTTGGGAAAACAAAACTTGAAGTTCCCAATGTCGCGCAAGCTCCAAAACGAACCGATCTTCTTTAGCCTTTTTCGCCACTGCCTGATCCGTCAAACGGTACGACACTTTGTTATGTGGATGATCTCTACAATGTAGTGTTAGGCTGTCATCACACCATGGTACAAAGCGCTGCGTCTACGTCCACGTAAGGAGTTTTTGGTCGGTTGTCATGATGATCCGTATACGGGGTGAAAACGGGAGCAGAGGAAACGGGAGACGTAGACGTGGTATGGAGAGGGGGGTATACGACTTTTTGTATGAACGTGCGTATCTCCCCCAGCCTTTTTCCGAGCGACCCTGTGCTTCGATGTACGTGGGTTCAAATTTCTCCAAAAACCTGACTGTATGTACGCGTCAGGAACTGTGCCTGTCTGATGACACGACCACCCATTTTGGTTTTTTCACCATAGACGTAGACGTAAACGGGAGTTGGAGAACGTGGTGTGATGACGGCCTAAGCCAAGCATTTCACATGTCTGGTGATGACAAGTCAGATATGCCCATGTGCTCAGCAAAGTGAACTACAAGCAAAGGAAAAACAAAGAAAAAAAGTGGGTTGAGAGCAACACTGGCTCACACTGTTTTTCACAAATTCATTTCAGGAAAAAAAGGATTTCAACATTTCGGTCATAAAATAAGCAGGATTGTAAAAAAAGAGAGCGATAAACTCACTTGTCCGCAACGGTTTTCTTTGCGCCTTTCTTTTTGGACGTCTTGTCTGAAGATGAGGTGGCCGGTGGGATGACATCGAACACGGTGAAGTTGTCACCCACCACGCACCAGCGATGTCGGCTTTCAGCACCGGTGCCGGCACTGCTAGCGGTGGTGCTGCTGGCGGCGGTGCTCGCCGTCGTCGTGGGAACGCGCGTGCACGCTATGGAGCGCACGTGGCCGAGGCAGAGCGCGTCTGGGTCGGTGGCATGCAGCGTCGCCAAGTACTGCATGGTGGACGCCGAGCGAACTGTGGGAAACGGCAACAGTGACAGTGACAGTAATAATGATAACAACAACAACAACAACAACAACAACAACAACAACAACAACAACAACAACAACAACAACAACAACAACAACAACAACAACAACAACAACAACAACAACAACATCTTATTGGCGATGGTGCCATCGTGAGAATAAAGAATTCAACAGCAACAACAACAACAACAACAACAACAACAACAACAACAACAACAACAACAACAACAACAACAACAACAACAACAACAACAACAACAACAACAACAACAACAAATCCACCACCACCACCAACAACAAAAACAACAACAATCGTGAGAATGAAGATTTGAAACAACACGAAAACAAAAAAATCACAAAGCACAAGCTGAATACACAGGGACAGACTCCAGGGGCGGATCCAGAGATCTCTACAGGGGGGTTCCGGTTGAGCCAAAAGTGATGAGCCAAAATATTATGTAATCAGATGTGCGGTTGACACTTGTAATTACGACAATCCGATTGTGTTAGTGGCAATCGCATGCTTTTAAAACACACTACGGACATAATAATTATTATTATATTTTTCCATCATCGACCACACCACAACTGCGCTCTCCAGCCGGCCTCGACACGTTGCCACAGCACACCACCATCGCTGGAGACTGAGTCGGAGCGCAGTTGTGGTGTGGTGGACGATGGAAAACCTGTACAGGGCCAATGCTGCTGCTTACCCTACATTGTATAATATTATTATTTAGTACGGACACATAATCATATACATGTATGCACTCGACTGGTACACAGGTTCAGTGAGGGCTTGAAGACCCCTTCAACTTCTTGTAAAGATCGAATATGCAAGCCATGGGTACGGTGAGAGCCAGGAATGCCGAAATGACAACTAAGTTACTTTCCCTGTCCATTTGTACTTTCGGAAATTTTGGCATTTTTACGATGCGAAATGCTCTATAGTCACAGGACAAGAGCATCGTCTTCACTTCAGTGACAGAAACAACAACAGCGAAACAGTGTCGACGGGGTACAATCCTTCCAATGTCATCTAAAACACATCGCTGGCGCAGCACTCCGTTCCTGCGGAGGAACAACTAGTCACTACTGCATGCTGCAGCAGGTAGAGATTACTGACTTTGCTTGGATTTCGGAGCGCTCATCTTCTGAGGAGCTTGAACTCTACGTGTACGGTTCGAAGTTCGTTGAAGAGTGTCAGTACTCGGAACCTCCTTTCTCTTCCTCAAAAAAACTTGTCCAAGGAATACTGACCACACCACACCCATCCCGAGCAGCAGTGAATGACAGCGCCAATGGAGGTAAGTTTGGATCGTTTCGAAAGATCAAAAAGGAAACAACCACCCAATGTTGTCTACAATGTCCGTTTGTAAATCACGGACGTGAACACCAGTACAGACTACTACTGTATCCGTAATTCCGTATACATGTAGTATCGATCTACCGCACGCGCATGCAGTACACTGACTGACAGTCTGTGCTCCTTGACTCAGGGACCAGGTGACTGCACTGACTGTGATGGGACGGACGCCCTTTTGTGCACACATAACATGATATTTTTCGATATTTCTCAGCCGCACACTTTGCAAAATTTAGGGGGTTCCATGGAACCCCCGGAACCCCCCCTGGATCCGCCACTGGAATCATATAACGTTACGGGGTCTGAGCCCCCCCCCCCCCCATACACACACACACACACACACACACAATTCTGCCTTTCATGCTGGAAACCCCTGCCAGCGTGGTATTGAAGCAATGTGTGAGCGGAGGTAGAACTTTGCCCAACGTGGTATTGAGCCCCCCTCCCCCGAGTAGGCAGTTCACGCACGAATGAAGAGTTTGCAAAACGTTAAGCTTAGATATTGTGAGCTCAGTGTAAAAAAAACCCGCAAGGCACGTTCAGGCATAACATTTCACATTCCAAATCTGACCAGAACCCGTTCAAAAACTGGTGCCAGAATAATGCGGGCAGATATTGATTTAGATACAAACCGCTAGTGGTGTGCACGGGTAGTCGGGTACCCGTGCTACCCGTGAGGACCTCGGGTAGTCGGGTACCGAATAGTACCCCCCGAAAACCTGAGGTCGCAGATGACATCATGTACAGTGCACGTGTACAAATAATTCCCGCATGTCTACCCAATGCGCAAGGGAAGGGGCCGGTGTGCATTGTGGTCTTACAAACCCCACACCGGAGTCACGAACAACGACGACAACAACCATGGACTCACTATTCACGTAAGCTTCCCCGGTATCCAAGTCAAACGCCGACGAGAGAAGAAGCTCGCCGTCATCCGACACGGCCAGGCAGTCCGTACGTCCGAACGAACCCAGATGGTTGGGGAACTTGGCCACGTTGCCGGACGGCAGGTGGAACATCTTCAGATTGGCGCCGTCGTCACCCCAGGCCAGGTACTGCTTGCTAGGCATGGCCATACACTGGATGGGACGATAGCTGGTTGTCGACGACGACGGTGGTGATAGTGTAGATGCTGTGGTGAGACACAGAGACAATGGGAGAATAATGGTGGTGGGGATGACAGCAGTAGCAATAGCAACAGCAGCAGCAGCACACAAAACAAAAACACAGACAGCAAAACTGCATAAGTCTGCGTAACAAATAGAACAAAATGTCATTGGATCACCCACAACTGGGGAATAACTAGTCACTGATTGATTCACTGATTGACTGCCTGCCTAGCTGACTGATTGCGTGAGTGATTGACTGACCCAGGGAGTGAGTGATTGACTGACCCAGGGAGTGAGTGATTGACTGACCCAGGGAGTGAGTGAATGAGAGACTCAATGATTGACTGCCTGTCTGACTGACTGAATGAGTGAGTGATTGACTGACTCAGGGAGTGAGTGATTGACTGACTCAGGGAGTGAGTGATTGACTGACCCAGGGAGGGAGTGAATGAGAGACTGAGTAGAAAATACACAGCTGTTGTCTGCACATTGCCAACAACAATATGTAATGCTGAGAACGTTGTGCTGGGGGTATTAGGAGATCAGAAGAAGATAACTTTGTGTCTGACAATGGGCTAAGAAAACCTGGCCACTATGATATGACTGAGAGAGAGAGAGACACACACACACACACACACACACACACACACGCACACAGAGGGGGGGGGGGGGGGGCAACGTTAAATACAAGCCACAAAACACGCCGAAAACTGAACAAACGAACAACAACGACTACTAGTTGGAAAGGGCCGAAACAAACGAAAACGGAGGAAAGAAAGCAGCCTCTAACCTGTCCTCCTCTCCTGCTGCCCTTGTTTGGTAGGTTGAGGCTTGAGAGGTGAACCGCGCACCGAGGACACGGTAGATTGGAGTGGTTGTGCTGTGCGCATGTCAGCACTCATCTGCCAGAGCTTGATGACACCTGGGGCATCACCAGTCACCAGCAACCGACTGTGTAGCTACAAGAGATTACACACGTTGCAACACAAACAACACAAACACAAGAAAACACACACACACACACATGCACAAAGTCATAAACACACACACACATAAACTCTTGACTAGTTTGAGGGAAAGACACAAACGGGACACATACACACACACACACACACACACACACACACACACACACACACACACACACACACACACACACACACACACACACACACACACACACACACACACACACACACACATCAATACATGTAGAGTAAGACCTGTCAAGGTGACCACTCGGATAAGGCGACCACCTGTCCTAAAAGACCACTGAAACCAGGACCAATGGATGCTATTTCGAGTCAAATGACCCTGGATAAGGAGACCACCTGGTGATAGAGACCACATTTTGAAGGTCCCTTGAGCGGTCGTCTTACACAGGCTTCACTGTATAGTGACTGCAATGGCGGAAAACGTGGTCACAACCATATCATCATGGCATTGTTATGCTCAGCAAGTTTGCAAGTGAACAATGAAAATCACAAACAGCCTTGTGTATTTGTTGGAAGCAATAGTTTTTTTTTCATTCAAGCCGACGAGACCACGCGACACTTGCAGACGACAGCACGAACAGTTCATCAGCCACACTCCACGAAAGCAACTAGTGTTACTCCTGACAAGTCTTGGTTCGAAGAAGGGCTGAGGCTTCCTGCAGCTTCATCTCTGAAAGGAATTCGGGTGGACACACCCATTCCCATAGCGCTGCACATCCGAACCCGGAACTGGTTCGGATGTGCAGCGCTATGGGAATGGGTGTGTCCACCCAAATTCCTTTCAAGTCTTGGTTCGTTCTATAAAGATGACGGGATCTCATTGCTGGACTTACTTGGACACATGTAATGGCGTCTTCATGCACGCGCAGAGAGCAAAGCTCTGCCAGATCCGGCCAAGACCACAGCTGCACACGACCACTGTCTGAAATACACACGCAGACACAGACACACACACACACACACAACGACAGACACACACAACGACAGACACACACAACGACAGACACACACACACACACAGACACACACACACACACACACACACACACACACACACACACAGACACACACACACACACACAGACACACACACACACACACACACACACACCAACAACCAAGCACATGCACTGTGTGAAGTACTTGTAGCAGCAAACACCGGTCCTGCACCACCACCAGCAATACATGGTTACAGACAGCAAACACCGGTCCTGCACCACCACCAGCAATACATGGTTACAGACAGCAAACACCGGTCCTGCACCACCACCAGCAATACATGGTTACAGACAGCAAACACCGGTCCTGCACCACCACCAGCAATACATGGTTACAGACAGCAAACACCGGTCCTGCACCACCACCAGCAATACATGGTTACAGACAGCAAACACCGGACCTGCACCACCACCAGCAATACATGGTTACAGACAGCAAACACCGGTCCTGCACCACCACCAGCAATACATGGTTACAGACAGCAAACACCGGACCTGCACCACCACCAGCAATACATGGTTACAGACAGCAAACACCGGTCCTGCACCACCACCAGCAATACATGGTTACAGACAGCAAACACCGGTCCTGCACCACCACCAGCAATACATGGTTACAGACAGCAAACACCGGACCTGCACCACCACCAGCAATACATGGTTACAGACAGCAAACACCGGTCCTGCACCACCACCAGCAATACATGGTTACAGACAGCAAACACCGGACCTGCACCACCACCAGCAATACATGGTTACAGACAGCAAACACCGGTCCTGCACCACCACCAGCAATACATGGTTACAGACAGCAAACACCGGACCTGCACCACCACCAGCAATACATGGTTACAGACAGCAAACACCGGTCCTGCACCACCACCAGCAATACATGGTTACAGACAGCAAACACCGGTCCTGCACCACCACCAGCAATACATGGTTACAGACAGCAAACACCGGTCCTGCACCACCACCAGCAATACATGGTTACAGACAGCAAACACCGGACCTGCACCACCACCAGCAATACATGGTTACAGACAGCAAACACCGGTCCTGCACCACCACCAGCAATACATGGTCACAGACTGGTGACAGTGGTCTTCCTTTAACATTGGAAAAAGAAAAGGGAAAAAAAGAAAGAAGAAAAATCAGTGCACACAACGCGCATGCCAAACGGCCGGTGAGGGCTAGTGTGACGGATGCGGCACCTAGCAGACGCGCTAGTGCCCAACAGCAGGGCGACGACGTAGCTCAGGAACATGACCAACAAGGAACTATTCGATTTTAAACAAAAAAAAAGAAAGAAAGAAAAAAGACGGAGGGGAAAGGAGAGAAAGCATGGAGACGAAAGGAACTTCCCCTTGCCACCAACACACTATGAAACACGATTGTACAGGGACTTCCTCTTGCCACCAACACACTATGACACATGATTTGTACAGGGACTTCCCCTTGCCACCAACACACTATGACACATGATTATACAGGCTGCAGTACACACACACACACACACGTCTCACCTGCTCCAGTAGCCAGCACCGTCCTGGTCCAGGACATGGACAGCACGGGTGCGTACGTGTAGAGAGAGCGCTGCTGTCTGCCACTCGTTATGTTCCACACTCGCACGGTGCAGTCTCGCGATCCAGTCACCGCATGACGGTCGCTGTCAGTGGGACCGACCGCGGTGGCAACGCCCGTGTCTGTAGCATCACCGAGAACAGCATGCAACGTGCATGCACATGCACACACAACACACAGGCACAAGCGTGCGCGCCCATGCGTACACACACACACAATGCACGTCAGAAACACTCGTCTTGGTATTATCAATAGTACCCCATTTTTTGGGGCAGGGTGCCCCTGGCACAGAAACTGCTCGTCGGCTAACTACAATGAGTGCGTTCGATTATGCCCGCGAATGTTTTTTTCCTTTTAATAATTGTTTTATACATCAAATAAACAAAAACGCAAGACTCTTTTGCGGGCACATTAATATGCCGCGAATCGATTCATGAATCCATTCATGAATCGATTCGCGCTATTCACATCACCAGATGTGAATAGCGCGAATGGATTCCGAACCGATTCCGGGGCTCATGAAATGAAAATCGAATGACTTGAATGCACGCGAATGGATTCATGAATCGATTCAAGGGCGTAGTCGAACGCAGCCAGTGTATTCTGGTCCTGATCACATTCTCTGCACTGACCTTCCGGTACGGGTGAGTTGGCTGGCAGTAGACAGACACACGTGACCGTGTCCTTGTGCCCAGTCAGTGAGTGCACTTCGCTGGACGTTGAGACACTCCAGACGCGTACAGTCGTGTCACGGCTGATAGGAAACACACACATACACATACACACACAAGCACAAACTCACGTCAAACACGTGGAAAAAACACTGAACTGTCTGATGTTTGCAAAGTATGCGGAATGGAACTTTTAAAGTTACAGCAGAAACAGAGCGCTACAGTCTCGTGTATTGCTGCACACCTCTCTGCACACTGAGTTAACCTAGCTGTTCACATCTCTCGGCACCCTGAGTTAACCTAGCTGGTCCGACTTATCCAGTCTTGATTGTGTGTTGTGACTGATGTCCACTCCTGCAGTGTCGCTTCAGCTGTTCTGCCATACTCAGTGCATGTAGTATCACTTCAGCCATTCTGCCATACTCAGTGCACGCGCGACCAAGCCACATGCACTGTCCGAGCAAGACAACTCTTCTAAAACAGAGATCCATAGAACAGAAGAGAATAGGATAGAACGCTCACTACTTTCCGTAGTTAGAGCACTCTGGCGCTAGAACGGCGAGTTCTCTTAATGTCTGTGGTGCCTCCTTTGCACCATGGCTGGTAGCTCGGCTTACTTAAAGCTCCTAGCTGTACTGATGAGGCCAATACGGGGAAACAGCTTGCTGTCTACAGCATTGGGTAGAAAGCCAGTAGCGAAAAGAAGAGGGGGTACAGACGCACGGGGATAGCTTACCCTCCCGTAACGACGACGTCATCCCGACAGTCGACACACGTCAGGCCCATATCACCGCGATCGTTGACATCACCCAGCTCGGTCACCTGCAGGCGTGATGCCTCCCAGCCGAGGCGAGCCGTGCGCAGTGCCTCCCGGAAACGCTCCTCGCTCGACTTATGCTTCTGCTCCTTGCCGCCCTGAGCAGCCTCGGCATTCGCTGACGCTGTCGTCTTGGCGGGGCGAGATGATTTCTTGGTGGCTTGCTTGTGAGTGGCAGAGGCGGCATCACCAGTGGCCTGGGTAGCGGAGGCGGCATGGCCAGTTGCCTGTGTGGCACTGACGCTGTCCTGGTTGCCTGCTGAGTGATGCAGTTCAGGTGGTGTGAGTGCAGTAGCGGTGGCAGTAGCGGTGGCAGTGGCGATGGCAGAGCCAGCCTGCTCATCTGTGCTCTCCGTACAGTCACGCGTATATTCCTACAGCAAAACACAAAAACGCATGTGGTGAATTGGGATAACAGAAGCACCAGCAGTAGCAGCAACAGGAGCAACAACAGCAACAACAGGAGCAACAACAGCAGCAGCAGCACCAGCAATAGCAGCAGCAGCAGGAACAGCGCTTGCAGTGGCTGAAGCAGTGTGCCAAATTATTGTAACACCGCTATGGACCTGCAACCACTCGCCCTCATCTGCAACGCCTTGGTTACATAGCAACCACATTCGCCTCTGCCATGCTCAGCATGTACACACACACACATGCACACACACACATGCACACACACACACACACACACACACACACACACACACACACACACACACACACACACACACACACACACGCACATACAGTCCCCTTCCAGCCGCGCAAAGAATCGATGGCATACCTGAACATCCGACGTCAGGACGCTGCTACAGTTGAAGCTTGCTGCTGACGAATCTGCAGACGTACATCACCATACACAGAACATGAACACGGCTCCATTACAGCGTAATTAGGAAATATCGGATGCCAATCGGCCAGTACTGCCCGTTTCGCCACCCATGGTATCCCTCGTTTTGCTATCCACGGTATCCCTCGTTTTGCTATCCACGGTATCCCTCGTTTTGCTATCCACAGTACTAGTATCCCTCGTTTCGCTATTCCTGGGATTCATGGTAAGACTGAGTAGCTACAATCATCAGTCAGTACTGCTCGCAATACTGCTATACATGCATTACTCCACTAACCCAGATCAGCTGCACTGCTATCCAAGTCTGAGTAGCTACAATCATCAGTCAGTGTTGCCGTTAATGCTGCCCCGTCATCGGCACTACAGCTGGCGGCCTGCGCTGAGCTTCGGAACGGTGTTGCCAAGGTAGCTGTCGTTGCCGCCGCCGCCGATGATGCGCTGCCCGTGGCCTGTAGTGCGTGCGATGCGGCGCGCTGTGCTGCCTGTGGGCATGACGACAGCAGTGACTGCAGCTTGGCGCGTAGCTCCCCTCTGGCTTGGATCTGCTCGCAGTGCGCGCGCGCGCGCGCGGAAAGGAAAACACACACGCGCAAAACAAGATCGTGCGCATGCACACACACACACACACACACACACACCAGCACACACACACACACACACACACACACACACACACACACACACACGCACACAACCGAGCATTAGAAAGGGCAAACATAGCTATATTATACGGCCGGAGAAAATTCCCGGTCATGAATTGCTCTTGCAATTCAAAGGACAAAGGGCACTTTCCACCCATCATTAGCTACACCAGCACACACAATAGAGAGGTTCCACATAACCTAATTACGTTAGTAAAAAAAGTAGTCGACCAAGGTAAAGTCTTACTTACACCGCATGCGTGGTGTGGAGTGTGTTGGCTTGGGGAGGGAGGGTGTGTGCATGCATACGTGTTGTGCATGCGTGGTGTGGAGTGTGTTGGCTTGGGCAGGGAGGGTGTGTGCATGCATACGTGTTGTGCATGCGTGGTGTGGAGTGTGTTGGCTTGGGGAGGGAGGGTGTGTGCATGCATACGTGTTGTGCATGCGTGGTGTGGAGTGTGTTGGCTTGGGGAGGGAGGGTGTGTGCATGCATACGTGTTGTGCATGCGTGGTGTGGAGTGTGTTGGCTTGGGGAGGGAGGGTGTGTGCATGCATACGTGTTGTGCATGCGTGGTGTGGAGTGTGTTGGCTTGGGGAGGGAGGGTGTGTGCATGCATACGTGTTGTGCATGCGTGGTGTGGAGTGTGTTGGCTTGGGGAGGGAGGGTGTGTGCATGCATACGTGTTGTGCATGCGTGGTGTGGAGTGTGTTGGCTTGGGGAGGGAGGGTGTGTGCATGCATACGTGTTGTGCATGCGTAGTGTGGAGTGTGTTGGCTTGGGCAGGGAGGGTGTGTGCATGCATACGTGTTGTGCATGCGTGGGTGGTGTGCATGCGTGGGTGGTGTGCATGCATGCGTGGGTTGTGTGCATGCATGCGTGGGTTGTGTGCATGCATGCATGGTGTGCATGCATGCGTGGTGTGCATGCGTGGTGTGGAGTGTGTTGGCGCTGGTCACCGGCATCATGTGATCGGTAGGTCACGCGTCGGCAATAACAATAGATTTTATTGGCCATAAGCACCGGATTTATTGTATACTTATTTTCCAGTGTAGCCTAGACACGGTTTTGGGTGGTGACTGGTGATATATGATATCAAGAGTACGTCATGACGCCACCGTGGCATTGCCAATATCCGGAATTCAAGAAGCGAAAAACGTAAAGGGCTCAGGCAGCAGGGATAGACGACGGACTACACAAATGTCACAATACAGAGGTTTAGCAAGACGAAATTTCGCGTTTGTGTTCGCTATCCAATGCAAGACAAGCTCAGTGACGAAATGTGAGTCACAGTATGGCTTACTCTAAACAGGGCCTTTGGGATTCGCGGGTTGCGCAATGGCTGTGAAATCGCAAAAGTAAGCCGGAGCGAAACGTAGAACTGCATGCAAAGTGCATAAAACTTTATAAAAGTCCATAAAACCGTATAAAAGTGCATAAAATAACAAAAAAACGCAGGGAAATCGCGTATTTTGCAGAAAATGGCGGATTAGGGCCAAAGTTTCGAAATTTGTTGCATCCGTGGAATCGCGATTTCCTGGGAAAATAGATTTAGAAGCGGACAGATGAATTCGAACACATGTACAACTGGTATATGATGGTACTAATTAAGAACAGCAATGCCAGTACGGCCCTTTGTCACATTCTATTGTGTGATACCGTTACAGTAAAGTCGTGCGCCGAAGAACGGCCAGCCTGAAATGCTAAGAATGCCACAGCCTGAAGTTAAGAACGGCGGTGTTGATTTTCGGCCATCTTTTGGGATACATTATGATCTATTACGTAAGTGGGTATACAGTCAACTTCGCTAATAACGACTGCGGATATAACGACAATTCGCGAATAACGACATAATTTTCATGCCCGGAGCAAAGCCCCATCCAACTGTGACACATATAATGAGACTTCAGATATAACGACACTTTGCGAATAACGACACTTTTCTGATGCCCCGCCGAGTGTCGTTATAAGCGAAGTTGACTGTACCCAGGTTTCAAGTTGTCTGATGATTGCCTTAGCATTTAGCTACGTGCATGAAACGCAGCGTTACAACGTATGTTTATATAATTGGTGAAACCATTCTTTTTGACCTTTATGATCTATTACGGATTGTTTCTAGGAACGTGCTATAAGAACGCAGCCAGATTGCTGAAAAATAAGAACGCCCCAGAGGCTAACCAACTGGCATGTTCTTGGACGCGCAACTCTAGAGGACAGTGCGTATCGGTTATAGCGTGGTCGTGTAAAAGAATATACTGCCTACAAGAATGAACTCTCATGTTTTCATAATCATAACATGGATTTCAACTTAGAAGTTGCGACTTCGGCGGTAATAGTCATGAAGTTGATTGTTCCAACTAGGAACACACGCTTCTTGCCGAACTTGACACTTGACTGACTCACGACTGCCTTCCGGAGCACACGAGGAGCACGTCGCACCTTCCACTCGGCAAACCTGCAAGAAAGCACCACTCCCTGCTCAATACACGGTGTTTCGGGGAATTCACCCCTCATCAGTTGAGCTTGAGTAGGCTGAGGAAGATTGTGCCTGAAAAGCACCACTTATATACTGCTGTCCAGGCCAAACCATCACCAGGGATACAAACTTACAGAGACGCTTTGTTTCCAGCGCGACAAACACCTCGTGAAGCTCCAGGTAGCAGCGTGAGTCAGAGTCGCTCATGGAGTTGTGATAAACAGACGTTGAGAGCCAGTATAGCTATTCGCAACGCTGTCACCTCCAACAACTAGTCGCACGTCCGCGTGAGGGACAACAATACGAACTTAGAAGTTGCGACTTCGGCGGTAATAGTCATGAAGTTGATTGTTCCAACTAGGAACACACGCTTCTTGCCGAACTTGACACTTGACTGACTCACGACTGCCATCCGGAGCACACGAGGAGCACGTCGCACCTTCCACTCGGCAAACCTGCAAGAAAGCACCACTCCCTGCTCAATACACGGTGTTTCGGGGAATTCACCCCTCATCAGTTGAGCTTGAGTAGGCTGAGGAAGATTGTGCCTGAAAAGCACCACTTATATACTGCTGTCCAGGCCAAACCATCACCAGGGATACAAACTTACAGAGACGCTTTGTTTCCAGCGCGACAAACACCTCGTGAAGCTCCAGGTAGCAGCGTGAGTCAGAGTCGCTCATGGAGTTGTGATAAACAGACGTTGAGCGCCAGTATAGCTATTCGCAACGCTGTCACCTCCAACAACTAGTCGCACGTCCGCGTGAGGGACAACAATACGAACTTAGAAGTTGCGACTTCGGCGGTAATAGTCATGAAGTTGATTGTTCCAACTAGGAACACACGCTTCTTGCCGAACTTGACACTTGACTGACTCACGACTGCCATCCGGAGCACACGAGGAGCACGTCGCACCTTCCACTCGGCAAACCTGCAAGAAAGCACCACTCCCTGCTCAATACACGGTGTTTCGGGGAATTCACCCCTCATCAGTTGAGCTTGAGTAGGCTGAGGAAGATTGTGCCTGAAAAGCACCACTTATATACTGCTGTCCAGGCCAAACCATCACCAGGGATACAAACTTACAGAGACGCTTTGTTTCCAGCGCGACAAACACCTCGTGAAGCTCCAGGTAGCAGCGTGAGTCAGAGTCGCTCATGGAGTTGTGATAAACAGACGTTGAGAGCCAGTATAGCTATTCGCAACGCTGTCACCTCTCAACTCTCAACGTCTGTTTATCACAACTCCATGAGCGACTCTGACTCACGCTGCTACCTGGAGCTTCACGAGGTGTTTGTCGCGCTGGAAACAAAGCGTCTCTGTGTTTGTATCCCTGGTGATGGTTTGGCCTGGACAGCAGTATATAAGTGGTGCTTTTCAGGCACAATCTTCCTCAGCCTACTCAAGCTCAACTGATGAGGGGTGAATTCCCCGAAACACCGTGTATTGAGCAGGGAGTGGTGCTTTCTTGCAGGTTTGCCGAGTGGAAGGTGCGACGTGCTCCTCGTGTGCTCCGGATGGCAGTCGTGAGTCAGTCAAGTGTCAAGTTCGGCAAGAAGCGTGTGTTCCTAGTTGGAACAATCAACTTCATGGATTTCAAGTGCACATTTATTCTTACAAGCAATTTTATCCCATAGTAGAATATATCGGTCCTAAGAATGGACTTTGTGTAGCGAAACATGCCAGATTAGTACAAAGTTTATCGCCTGTAGTAATAACATCTGTCCAATTCCGTTCTGATCCGACTCTCATTGCGTTGTGGTGCTGCAGATTCAAGTTACTGTTGTGGTCATATAACTAACTCATGTTGCATAGCCACATGGTAAGCCTATGGGACTATGACCAGCCACATGCACAGAAGTACTGCGTTGCATGTACGACGATCTTCCTGCCCCTGCGCACATGCATATGATATGCCACACTTGATTTATCGTGTGTAAGAAATATCGGAAATAAAAATAGAAAGTCGGTTTTCAAACACCCACGCTATAACCGATACCTACTGTACTTGTACAAGTTGAACTAGTAGTAGACCAGCATGTTGCCGCCGGCCGGGTTGACTCGGGCAGAGGCCTGCCTTCGCCTTTGGAATGATGCCATTAGGCCACTTGGGTAACGGTTTCTTGTCAAGCTTTTATGTTCAATCCTACACTTCAAGTAAGGGGGTGATTATATGTGCAGCTCCAGCCCGGGCTGGTTGACAGGCGGGCCAGCCCGCCTGCAACGGGATCTCGGGGTTGTACACAAATCCACACAAAACCTGTGGTGCGTTTACATGGCAAGCGGGCTGGCCCGGCGAGGCGGGATCCCGCCTCAAGGCACCCGGGATCCCGGCTAGGCGGGCCAGAAAAAGCACATATAAACAGACCAGCCCGGGCCAGAGTTGTATTATTATGGTGTCGACACTGCGTTCATACTACAAAATAGGTACTTTTACCTTTTGAGGGTAGTTATAAAGAGGATTCCCGATATTGTCTTGAAAATCTATGAAGCTTTTTGTACAGCAACAAGAAGGACGTACAGTGAGCACTGTTTATTTGTCGACATGCATGATTTACATTTAAATGGAAGGGGAACTATTTTCAAAAAACTTTGATATGGACAGCTAAAAATGTGAAAAACAGGAAAAAGAAGCGAGGTGATACAACACATGTGCACACCAAACATGTGCCACAGCGCGAAGAGAAATCAGCAGAAGAATACATTGTGTGAGAAAAAAAGTGTTTATGTTTTTAACCTGAGTATGGCTTGCAGCCCTGCGTTTCAGCCCGGGGCAGCACACTACAGTCGTAGTGTGTTTGCTGCATACTCACAACGGGCAGCCGTGTGCTCAGCGCATATAAACTCACTGTGGGCTGGCGACCAGCCCGGCCTTGCACATGTAAACACCCTTGGCGGGCTGGCCCGCTCGCTCCAGCCCGGGCTGGAGTTGCACATATAATAGGCCCCTTAGGGCGCGTTCAGACTACCGTGAACCCCGTCAAACCGTGAATGCCGATAAACCGTGAAGGACATTCACACTACCGATAACAAACTAACGTTACCGTGAAGTTTTCAGCTCTCACCGCGGCACTGACAAGGGATTTTCCCTTTTTCCCCAGCGCGCATGCAGCCTGAGCACTTTTTTACTGCCGGTAAAAGTTTACTGCCGCAGCAGCCGCGGCAGTAAAACTTTCCCACCGGTAACGTGCCAGTAACGTCACGTGATCAAATCACCTTGCCGACTTTCCCAATCGGTCACTTTTTATCGGTAGTCTGAACGCGCCCTAAGTGTTCTATTCATTGCCGGATCTAGGTGGTCTCTTCTCTTTTTGCCTTGCTTCTTTCTTTATGGTTTCATGCAATTGGCTTTGTGAATAAATCCGTTCTCACAGTAGACTAGCAGACGATTGCATGCAGGGAGTAGATCGACTACGTACTTTTTGATACTCGTCGGGCGTGAGGTCCTCCGCTTTCTCTCTCAGTCGCTCTATCTGACGGAGTTTCTTTCGGATTTTCCTGATCTCGCGATCAACTTCCGAGTCCATGCTGCTCTGCTGCCTGACCGCCAGCTAGCTACCACCACTGTTGATTATTGTGATGTCAATTAATATTTACATAGACACAGGGCAGTGAAATAGTCATGCAACCACATGCACCCGAGTTACTAATACTATTCTACTACTGTACAATTTTTTGGAACATTCGAAACTCAAAAAAATACAAAAAATCATAGATCGTGCATATGTGCTTATGCGCATGTATGATGTAGCTGATAAATCACGATCACGCAGTAGATCTACGCCGCGCCAAGTGAAAAGAAGTACATTGTACTAGTATACGGTACGAGTTCAGTTTTGTCACTGTCCATATCGCATAAATCACTGGCACTGCCATTGCCTCCATCATTGTCCTCAGCTCAGCGGCAGTTCTGTACTCACTGTACCTGCTGTACTGGAAGTAGTTACGACGAGTCGGAGACCGACGACGACGGTTGGCTCGCTCTCTTGCAGTCGACTAGTCATGGCGTGCAAAAAGAACGCTGACGACTTTCCATTAGCAGCTCTTTCCCAGGCCGGAGGCGGGGAAGAAAGTGCTAGCGAGTCCGGCAGGACGGAGATTTGCGGCGGATCCGCTCCAGCTTGCGCGGACGAAGCAAGCAACGCCGTTCCCGAGGCAGTGCGCAGGCTGAAGAGTGTGTTAGTTGAAGAATATGTGGGCGCGACCGTGGATATGGGCGAAGGTATGGTAGAGGAGGGGATGAATGAACCAAGCGTTTCAGATGTGCAGGTACGACTGATGATCTTGTCTAGGCCAGAGCTTCGGAAGGAGTTCGCCAATGCGAGTTTCGATTCAACAGGAGACATGTGGCGCGTTGAACACGTTTTCACAAAGGCAGCCAATAGTTTGGAGAACATCTCCGTTGAAAGTCTCTTCGATCTGGACAATGAGCAGATGCTGGAGTTCTCCAGCGGTGGACGAACGTATCGCATATTGGCTGTTGCCAGCGCGGGCTGCGGCAAGACGTTCGTCTTTACTAGAGTGGTACCATTGAAGTGGGCACGAAATGAAATGTGGACGTCGTTTGACCTGGTGATAGCGCGGAAGCTACGGAACAAGGAGGTTAGAGAGGCAACGGACATATGCGCTCTGCTTGGCGTGGGAGAGCTAGGAGTGTTTACGAGCGAGGAGCGCAAAAGCATCGATGATTTTGTTCGCCGACAAGCTCACCGAGTATGCATTGTACTCGATGGACTTGACGAGATCCGCTTTGGCGACTGCAGCGGCTTTGTTCAGGACATTATCAACGGGTCAAAAGTGAAGGGACTGCGTCTGGTGGTGACGTCACGGCCGTGTGCAGAACTGCTGAGCCTGAGTGACAAAAAGCAGTTTGATCGCCGAGTGGAACTTGTCGGTTTTCGGCAAGAAGATGTTGAGGAGTACATTGGCAAGGTGCTGAGGTCAGTAGACGAAGCATCCGTGCTGGTGAAGGCAGTACGGCAGGACCAACACCTTGCCAGTATGATGGCCACGCCATTCCTAGCCATGCAGACGTGCAAGATGTTCCACTGCCGCAATGGCATGCTGCCAAAATGCCTGTCGGACATCTTTGACTTGATGATCATCCAAGTTGCCGAGCGTAATACTGGTGAGTCGTACAGGAGTTGGAATGAGATTTCTCCAGCCGTCCAAGCCCTTATCCTAGATCTTGGAAAATTTGCTTTCAGCATGCTTGTTGAACAGCGACTCATTTTCACCGATGCTGATTTGCAGATGCGAGCGATCACCAGGGAAGCTAAAGCTCTCGGCCTTCTCGTGCTAGCCGACAGTAGCAGTCGGTACGACGACAGACTGTGGATGTTCAGCCATTTGACGTTACAAGAATCGCTGGCGGCTCGCTACGTGGCTGTGAAGAGGGCAACAACACCGGCACACGTCGTCCGTTTGGTGGAGTTGCTGGGCCCCGACAGGAACCATTTGCGGACTTTCTGGATGCTTTTGACAGCCCAGTTGGACAATCTGAATGCAGACTGTTTGGTCAATGGTCTTCTCACGCGCCACCATTCCGATGGCGGACGAGGAGCGGCTGGGATTGACGAGGATGAGGATTGGGATGACCCACATGATGCAACGGCGGAACAAGCTGACTTCCCGCTAGATATGCTTGAGTCGTTGAGTGCCGGTTTGGATGACTATGAGGGCCGCCGTCTTGCAGAAGAGCTTCTATCCGACAGCCTGAACGGAACAAGCAGTGTCCGTTACGTAGAGAACCGTAGCAAGTACGGCCGACCCGATAGCGGTGAACAGTTCTTGAGAGCGACGTTGCTGACGTGGGTGGAGCGCTGCCCTGATGCAACGTACGATACACTGGTTGATGCTCTGCGATGCATGGGCAAACATGTCCTTGCACAGTCTCTGCATGCTCCTATGCGCGGTGGTCCTCCAACACCGGTGCAGAGTCTATTTCACAAAGAAATCAATCCTCGCTCCTACTGCCGTAATTTGAATCTACCTGTGCTAAGCTATGCCGAGCGAAGCCGTCACCATGACGATGACTGCCGACCAATGTCAAGCCTAGCTGCCGCATTTCAGGTCAAGGAGATATTGATCGATGGTCATATGCATCCGGCCATCATCCGTGCTTATGACGTCGCCATCGATGCGCACTGCACCAGCGTGAAGAATGTGTGTTTTGATAAATGGCAACACTCCCTTACTCCCATGCTGGTTCCACTGTCACTACCGAAGTGTGAGAATATCACAAGGCTGTTCATCGCTAGCTGTGCCTGTCAGTGGCAGGAGATCCTGGCAGTTGTGAAGTCATCACACATGCATCTGCAGGACATCAGTCTTGTTGATTGTGATTTCACGGATACTACTGTGCCCTCAACCCCGGTCAGCACACAACCGCAGAATGATGAACACAGCGGAACAGCTACAACCACCGACCATGGTGATCGCAACCCTGCAGTGCTCCTGGCTGAGGCACTTGCCGAAGTTCGCTGCCTCGAAGTATTCGATCTTCGCGGCTGCAAGGGCATCGATGATCAGGGTTTGCAGGCGATCTGCAAGGCCTTGCGCCACTTAACATGCTTATTATGGTTGAAGGTCGACCAGCCAGGGTTGCTTCGTTGCGTCGGCATCTTGACGGATCATCTTCGCAATTCATGGCCTGATATACAATTAGCATATATTACCTTCGATGATGATGATGATGGCGACGCGGAGGAGCAGGAGGCGCTATCCGACCACGACGTCTCTGCATTCTTGCATGCCGTCAACGCACATACATCACTCCGAGGACTTAGGATTACCAGTAGACGCCGTCCACGACCATACCGTACGGATGCCTACCGTCGTCTTCTCGATAAGGACTGCTACCGATCTTCCTTAGACTTTCAATTGTTTGATGAGTTGTAGTTTGGCATTCTCTGCATGCTCTACAAAACTAGTGGCGTAGCGGTACAAGAGCAGCCAGCACAATAGTTGATACTGAAAATGTTGCAATATTTGGACTTCAACTTGAGCCTCCAAACCTTTTTTCTGTTTTTGTTTGGAGGCAACAACTTGAGCCTCAATTCTAAATATCGTACCATACAAAAGACATGAAATTTGCAACTAAGTTACTTTCCGCTCCATAGTAGTGAAGAACTCGCACCTTCAACTGTTAGCTCTCAGTGTGTGTGTGTATGTGCGTGTATAATTATATACATAGATGTGCACTCACGGATTACCTTAGGCGGAGTGTCCGCATCATCCACTGATTATTACAGTGTACGATTGGAAGAAACTGTCAATTGGCCAAACCAGTCAGTACAAATAACCACAGAATTATTCCTGATTGAGATTCACTGCCAATTGTACATTGACCACAAAACTATTTCTAAATCTGTTGCTTTGTAATTTCATTGAGTGAATAGCGCAGTAAGCTGTGTTGTGGCGGTTAACCCTGGACCTTTAAAATAATTTGTTCCAGCTGAGTTCCCTGTTGTAAAGCATCATAGTAGCATACCGACCGGCATTATTTTGTTCTATTCACATTTTTTCCTTCTCCTTATTTACATTGTGCATTCTCATCACTACCAACTTTACCAAGATTTGGCTAGGCGTGTGCCGTCGTGACCTTGCATTATGACGTACTACTTCTGTCGGAACCAGTGTGCCGTGTGTGTGTGTGTGTGTGTGTGTGTGTGTGTGTGTGTGTGTGTGTGTGTGTGTGTGTGTGTGTGTGTGTGTGTGCGTGTGGTGGTGGTGGTGGTGTGTGTGTGTGTGGGGGGGGGGGGTAATTGCATGTGTGAGTATGTGTGTGTGTGTGTGTGTGTGTGTGTGTGTGTGTGTGTGTGTGTGTGTGTGTGTGTGTGTGTGTGTGTTTACATGTATGCGCGCATGCGGGGCTCTGGAGCTTGTGTGTGTGTGTGTGTGTGTGTGTGTGTGTGTGTGTGTGTGTGTGTGTGTGTGTGTGTGTGTGTGTGTGTGTGTGTGTGTGTCTTCTGCGATGGGCAGGTCTGAGGTGTGGGCTCTGGAGCTTGTGTGTGTGTGTGTGTGTGTGTGTGTGTGTGTGTGTGTGTGTCTTCTGCGATGGGCAGGTCTGAGGTGTGTGTGTGTGTGTGTGTGTGTGTGTGTGTGTGTGTGTGTGTGTGTGTGTGTGTGTGTGTGTGTGTGTGTGTGTGTGTGTCACTTCAAATAGCTGTATGGTGTAGACCAGGCTGAATAGTGACGATCAATTCTTCAGCCTTGCAAGCTGTTGAATGGTGCAATCCCAGCACAAGTTGCTATGGCTTCTGCCGTAGCATTGCTATCATCGCCTCCGGCGATGGGCGTCAAAGGTCAAAGGTCAAGGTGTGTGTGTGTGCGCTCACGCCTGGGCGCGCTCGCTGGTTTGTGCTCCTGTCTACGTATGTGAGTGTCCAGCGTAGCCTGTCCAAATATTCAACTACCCAATTTATTTGTAAGCTGAATGACTGTATACGGTACCAGACTGCTTTCACTCGTGGACAAAGCCGGAACCTTGCGGCCCCCTCGCTTTGCTGAGCAAATGTTCGTCTGTACAAGGGCATCTATACAGAGTGCGTGTGTGCATTTGTAAGTAAGCTGTCCAGGGATTGTCACCTGACCTAGATGTATGTCACGTGATGTGTTTTGTAGCAACACTGTACTGTACTACTGCTGGTGATTGAGGGCAAAATGTAACGTTTTCAGACATGTAGTTGTAGAAAGGGTACAATGACTTTTAAAAATTGTAGTCCACTGGCCAGCCCACCAAAGCCAATATGACATTGTATAATCCAGACTAAAGCTAGCTCTCCCTCCTCCTCCCCCCCCCCCCCCCCGTCGTGCCTGGGAGTCGAGGGGGGGGGGGTCGTAGCTGTACACCCTACATTTTATAATTATATCCCCCTCCCCGGGGCCCCCCGTTACCTTGGTTACGATCCGCAAAAAGTCAAATAATTTCACAAAAATATTTTTAAGTTAGAGAAGTCACAAAAGATGGATTTCATGTAGATTCTTAGATCTTGTGCATTTCACCTTGCGTCGCGCGTCGGGTCATCGTCTGGACAGCATGCCAGGCCAGGCGCTAGGCCGGGCGGAGAAGTAAGGTTTGCAGTGCAGTATGAGCTGTCTCTGAATCCTTAGATCTACAGACACAGTCAGTCAGTGTATTTTATCTACTAAACACAATGATTATGACTGTAGTTGCTGGCTTGACAATAGCAGCTCAATTATCTTAGTTATCATCTAGAAGATGAGGACGTACGTCGATGGCTCTGGACTGTGATGCTGATGTGTAATGGCAAGTAAGCCGTTCTGCCCCTGTCCAGAACAACACTGAACCTAGCCGCTAGCGCTCAGCTACAGCAAGCACTTTGCTATTATTTTATTATGGATACTATGTTCGCTAATGTTCGTACCACCTTGGATGTTTGAAGCACAGCCCAGACGCTAGCGTAACGTCCAGTGTACAGTCATTGGCCTGAAGTCGTGAATCGTCGCGGAACCGAGTTAGTGGGACAACTAGTAGAAATATCGTGATTGTGGGTTGGAAGTTAGTCGCCATTGCTTCCCCAGAGTACTGAGTGTCGTGAGCCAAGGAGCTGCCGAGGGTTGGTCAACGCAACGTCAGCGTAGAAGAGCGGCTATGGCCGACGAGTGTAGCGTGCGAGTGGTGTGTCGCTATCGGCCGCACAATAAGATCGAAGAAGCGCAAGGTGGACAGCAGGTCTGTTCGTTTCCCTCCGATGGCAGCGTCAATCAAAATGTAAGATTTTTTCAAGTGTTCTTTTTTTCCTAAATGCATAAATCTCTCTCACCAGTTGTCAGTGTTTGTTACTACTATCTCTATTGCGAGTGTAGCTCCCCCCCCCCCCCCTCCCCTCCCTGATGCCATGCAGCTAGTGATTGCAAAAACCCAATTTGTGAAATAATTATAGTTTACAGTTAAATTGAAGGAGCAGAAACAAATTGCACCACATGTCTCTTTCCTCCAGGCTGAATATTTGTACCTGAATGGCAAACCATAATCAGTAGTATCCTGGAGAAAGCAGATGTTGAACGTTTGTGCCCCCTTGAGTATTCATCGAAACACATGTTATCTAACTTTCCCTGTGAGGGAGTGACGTGTTGACCCGAAAGTCATGCCTCTGTTGAACTTTGTGAGACGAGTAACGTCATGACGTCAGCCATGACAATCTGCTTCACCAAAGGCAACATTGTGAATCCGACATATTGTAAGATATAAGAAGAAAAGAGAGTACCAAAGAGGTACAAGTTACACGTACGCTATACTGTCCACTAACACCACCAGTTACTTTACAACCAGCTCATGCGATAACATTGCACGACACTGACCAACGGTACTGATGTTCTACACCTAACTCGCAATCAGCTCTAGCACATCTTGGATGCGCACTCCAACAGCCTTCCAACTTGGAAGGTTCTAAGTTATAGAACAAACATAAGAAGGGTGCTTAGCTTCCTCTCCAATCGATCTTCGAATCTTTAGAGCCACATAAGCTGTGTGATATGTTGCTATGCGTCCTTGAATTGTGGTTTGGCAGTTTTGTCTGATGGTCTTGCCGGTATCGTCCTCGACATACATGTACATCCGCCAACGTCCTTCACAGCTGAGACTTTCAGCTCGCGCTTTTCTTGGTTGCACTCACCTTCCCCTCCTTATGTTATTGCTATAACTTAGAACCTTCCAAATTGGAAGGCTGCTGGAGTGCGCATCCAAGATGTACTGGAGCTGATTGCCAGTTAGGTGTAGAACGTCAGTACCGTTGGTCAGTGTCGTGCAATGTTATCGCATGAGCTGATTGTCAAGTAACTGGTGGTGTTCGTGGATATTATAGCGTAACTTGTAGCTCTTTGGTCCTCTTTTCTTCTTATAAATTAATCCTTGCCTCTCCACATGAGTCTAATTATTGTATTATTATAATTATTATACAGTAAAAACTTGTTTATCCAGTCCTCTTTCATCCGGATTCCTCGCCATCCGGAAGAAAATCGCTGGTTACCGATTTACAGCATGTGTCATGCATACATACATACAGTATGTGTGTTCGATGATCCGGTTCCCTCGCCTATCCGGATATTTTTTTGTGGAAAATGGATTTGTGCGGTTATGCGAAGTCTAACTGTATACTATATAAGTACAAATTTTCGTTTGGAATTAACTTTCGCTATATTCGTTAGGGGCACGAAATAACTAAAGTTTTTTTCTGAACGTTCGGGGTGACAGACCTCGACCAAAAACGAAATTTAGTACGTAAGGAATCTGCTGGTGGAGTGATGTAACGAAAGATTTCCGCGAACGAAAATGTGTACTTATACACAGTCTGCATCTTTTATGGAAAACCAACGGTTGATAGTGGTGATGCTAGGGATACGGTAAAACCGGTAACTAAAGACCACCGTGACTAGCGACCAGCCAGGTACTAGAGACCACTTTGCCAGGCACGGACGGTCTCACATTCACTATGGTTGTGCGGTGCAAACCTCTAACTAAGGACCACCTGCCACTAAAGACCGCTTTCTCTGGCCCCAAGGGGAGGTCCTTAGTCACACGGTTTACTGCATGTTGAATGAATAATCATCACGTAGTCAGGATGCCGGAATCAGGTTTTGATAAGTCCAGTAGTAACACGGCTGTTCATACTGGGTGTATTCTACAGCTAGACCTCGCATAACCGCACACATCTGTTTTCCACAAAAATACCCGGAGAGGCGAGGGAACCGGATAACCAAACACCGTTTATGTTGGATGCATGACGTATGCTGTAAATATGTAACCAGCTATTTTCTTCCGGATGGCGAGGGATCCGGATAAAAGAGGACTGGATAAGCGAGGTCTGATTGTATAGTGGGTACACACGCCTTTTACATGTTGGTGGCCAAAATGTTAGTTGGTCCAGTGAACACCTGACTGACCACGCGAGCGAATTGTGAGATTAGATCATTATGTTTTACTAAAGTTGGTAATCTAGTGTGTTCTGCCAAGATTTGAAATGCTCTTTTTTCAAATCGGGCAATTTGGGTGCACTTCAAACCTGTGTCTCGAGATTTCAAATGCCGCTGCGGCCGAGATTTTCACCGGCACCAGGACCTCATTCGCCACTCGAAGTTCTTTTACCCGCGACTGAAACACGTGTCGGTCCTTTCAGGACCTGCCATCATCTGCGGATGGGCATTAGCATATTGTTTTGTATTGTGTGTGTGTGCGCGTGCGCATGCATGTGTGTGTGTGTGTGTGTGTGTGTGTTACCGGTGCCAGCTAGTTCGGTTGGTGGGTACACTTATGCCAGATAGTGTTGGGCCTGTTGCCAACGGGCTCGGCTGCTTGAAGGTGTATTGTTGTACCTACCACCTTTGTTGGTTTCAGGGTTCATATACTTTCTATTTGAAGTATACATACCTGTTAACCATGGACTGCTTCTGGCTAGATTAACTCTTGTGTAATCAATGGTGCTAGTGAAGCTTATATCAGATCCACACTGATTTAGCCACCCACACTAGTAGCAAGTATTACCTTCACTGGGGGCAGGGGTACCTGCAGTTGGATCCCGGGACGGATACCCTGATGCCGTCAATCCTTTTTCTGCACCTTGTCCTCACCCACTTACTGAGGTGTGGTGAGCCCATAAGTGGGATCATTCCAAGTCCACCCTAGTTTGGGGATTTCAGGGGGTGTCGGCCGTTGGGTGGTTCAATGGCCAATTGAGTCATCTTTCCAAGATTCCTTTTGAGTCTCTCTCCCCTCTCCCGGGGAGACCCACGTGACCAGTTTTGGCAGTGAGCAAGTACAAGTACAAGTACAAGTGTGTGTGTGTGTGTGTGTGTGTGTGTGTGTGTGTGTGCGTGTATGTGTGTGTGTGTACATGTGCTTTTGTGTCATTCATGTTATGTTTTGCACTGGCAGGGACGAGTGTACCAATTTGATCGCGTGTTCAACACGTCCACCACGCAGACTGGTCTGTACTGCGAGGCGGCGCGACCTATAGTGCAGGATGTTCTCAAGGGATGCAACGGGACCATGTTTGCATATGGACAGACGTCGAGCGGCAAGACACACACGATGGAGGGCGTTCTGGGCAGCGAGGAGCTGTGTGGCGTTATCCCGCGCATCGTAGAGGACATCTTCAACCATATCCAGCACATGGATCCAGGAGATGAAATGGTTGAGAACTTCTTCATCAAGGTCTCATACTTTGAGATCTACATGGAGAAGATACGAGATCTGTTGAACACGAGTAAGACGAATCTGTCGATACACGAGGACAAGAATCGCTCACCGTACGTAAAGGATCTCACCGAACGCTATGTGGCGTCGCCACAGGAGGTCTTTGAGATAATCGAAGAGGGAAAGTCCAACCGGCATGTTGCTGCTACCAGTAAGTTGAGAGTTTGTTGTTGATTTTATTTCCTTCGCAAGGCCAAACGGGCAATGGTGCCCAATCGTATGGAAGCAAATTTCAAAGCGGGAGAGAGCGAGGGGGGGGGGAGAGAGAGAGAGAGAGAGAGAGAGAGAGAGAGAGAGAGGGAGAGAGAGAGAGATACAGAGATACGGAGATGCAGTTGTCCCTCTCTAATCCGGCACTTGTTTATCCAGCACCCTTGCAAACCAGGACACTTTCTGGCAAAACGGATTTTTTCAGTTCATTTTCTACGCTTTAATCCGGCACTTGAATTCCGCCTCCAGCAGCGATTTTCTGCAACAAATCACTCAAACTGTACATTATTTGATTTTCTAATCCAGCAGTTGTACATCGCATACCATCAGGGAGCATTGTAACATACACAACACATGTAACATACACTTAGGAATATCCTATCCCAGTGCATAGGATGCATTCTACAAAGTACTTGGATTGACACAGAAAATCCCTACATTTCGACGTACAACACCAACATGATTGTATGTTTAACAGGTGGGCCGGGTTGGAGGGCAGTATTTGATAATCCAGCACCCTTGTTTATCCAGCAGAAAATGCCGTTGCAAAAGGTGCCGGATTAGAGAGGGAAGCAGTTAGGTTAGGGGCATTGGGGAGATGGATTAGTGGTGCGTGGTGGCCGCATCGACGTGTGGTTGGGGGTAGCAGCGAAGAAAAAAATGCTATAATTTATTGCGGGAGATATGATAAGCGAATTTGCAGCGTCAACAGAGGGAACACAAAGAGTTCATAGGTGCACAAACACGCAGAGAAGAATACATGACGGAGTGTGTGGACGGGCAAAGTCAGAGCATTCATTGCAATGTGCAGGGGATGGACGCAAGCTTAAATTGCTGGGCAGCCTTGATCTCCCTTGCACTCCTTGGGAGTGAGTGCATTCCAGGTCAATGCTGCCTGAAAGGTCAGGGAAGATCTGCCGACTTCTGACTGTGCCGAGGGGACCGTGAGGCCCCTGGAAACCTGGTGCCGGGTGGTGCTACCAGCTGATGGTGAGAATAGATCCTGGAGGACACTGCTGGCTTTCCCATTGACACAGCGCTACACCAGGACGAGTCGCTTCTGGGCGTAATGCTCGCGAACTCTGTACAGGGACATGCGTTCAAGCAGAGGCTGGGCAGAGGTGTGAGGCGGCAAACCGTATACCGCTCTTGCCCCTCGAAAGCCTTGAGGGAGGAGGAGAAGGCGTTAGATCTGTATAGGAGGTCAGGCATGATGATTGACCTCACATAAGTGTTCTCCGGACCGCCGTGTGTCGTGTGACCGCCGTGTGTTACGTGACCTCCGTGTGACCGCCGTGTGTCATGTGACCTCTGTGTGTCCGCCGTGTGTTTTATGACCGCCATCTGTCATGCGTGTGTGTACATGTGTGTGTGTGTATGCATGTGTGTCTGTGTATGTGCTTGTGTGTTTGGGTGTGTGTGCATGTGTATATATATATGTGTGTGTGTGTGTGTACGTGTGCGTATGTGTGTGTGTACGTGTGTGATTATTTGTCCAGACATGAACTTACACAGCTCGCGGAGCCACAGTATCCTCTCAATCAGCGTACGCCAGTCGTTCGGAGGGGACAAACGCACACTGAACGGCAAGCTATACCTGGTGGACTTGGCTGGATCGGAAAACGTATGTAACTCATTTGCCAGCGTAAACCTGTGTTCTTTGTGCCTAACACAATACAGTCGACTCCACTTGTAACGAACTCGCACATAGCGAATTTCGTGATAATATCGAACCCTTATCCATGTCCCCGTTTGAACCCATACAAAATTTACTCTTTAGAGCAAACCGTTTTCGTTTATAACGAACCAAATCTTGTAGGGCCGCATGTAAACCAAGTGCACTCATACTGTCATAGGCCACTTACCAGTCATGACTTGCTGCTTGTATGGTGTGAGTGCATTTCTGTTATAACAAACTTCGGCTATAAAGAACAAATTATCCTGCACAATGGTGTTTGTTATATCAGGAGTCGACTGTACCTACCTAATAGAAAGGGCCTTACTGTACTTCACCAAAGACTGTTGTTGGTAACAAGGGCCCTTGACTTATAGTTCGTTTCAAAAGTCCAGACCCCTGGTTTCGAAAAACCGTTGGGCCAGCATCTATACCACATAAAATCTGTGATCACTTTGTGCATACAATTTCCGAAATTGGGCGTTTGTTATCCAGTCGCTAGAAATTTACATGAGAACTATTGCAGGAGCTGCCTGAGCAATATAATTATCATATTCCGAAGAAATTTCTCAAAAAGCTCGAGCCAAATTTGAATTATTCGAAAAGGTCTAGAGGCCTATACTTTTGAAACGCACTACAAAACTGCATTTGTTTTTGTCTACTATGTACGGTAGAATAGAAATGATTTTGGAAAATAAGAAGTAAAGGCAGTAGATGGAATTTTGTGTGCATGGTGGGAGGGGGAGGGGAGGGGGAGGGGAGGGGGAGGGGAGGGGGAGGGGAGGGGAGGGGGAGGGAAGGGGAGGGGAGGGGTGAAAATATCCAAGGTGTAGTCACACAAGTCCTGACCATCCACAGCATATCGGTGCGAGGGCTCACTCCCGTATCATGCCCAGTCTATCTGTGTGTATTTGGTATTTTCTGGAACAGATTTTCTGTGCTGCTGCTGTTGCTGCTACTGCTGCTAATGCTGCTGTTGCTGTATTTTTTGGTATTTGTATTGTATTTTATTATTAGGGTGCCCAAGATGAATGAATGTGTTAAGTTCCTGGCGAAATGAATTGGAGAAATTATTAGTGCAAAGGGGTTCGGGAAGCGCATTTAAGCGGTCGGCGCCAAGGAATGAAATAGATTTGCATCCAGCTTGAGTTTACACTGTGGTTGTTCCACTGTTTCCTTTGCAGGTTGGCAAGACAGGAGCGTCCGGTATGACTTTCGAAGAGGCCAAGATGATCAACAAGTCGCTATCGGCACTTGGCAACGTCATCTCGGCACTGACCGAGGGCAAGGGTCGCACTCACGTGCCGTACCGCGACAGCAAACTGACGCGAATCCTCCAGGAAAGCCTGGGAGGAAACGCCAAGACCACCATGGTCATCTGCTGCTCTCCGTCCTCGTTCAACGACAGCGAGACGAAGAGCACGCTGGACTTTGGCAAGCGTGCCAAGTCCATCAAGAACGTTGTCGTTGTCAACGAGGAGCTGACCGCGGAGGAGTGGAAGCGGCGCTACGAGAAGGAGCGTGAGAAGAATCAGAAGATGAAGAACGTGTTGAGCGCCCTGCAGAAGGAAGTGCAGCGATGGCGAGCAGGTGAGCTGGAACCGTCAGCGTACTAGCGTGGTCTCATTTGAGTGTGTGTGTGGGTGGGTGGGGGAGGGGGGCACACGCGTGGGCACGTGTACCGTAATGTCGGGCGCCGAAGAACGACCAGGCTAGAATTCCACCAAGCACAGCATACCAATGTATACACAGTGACTCAACTGTGCATAGACCATAGTAAATGAACGTTCGACCAGCCTAGGCTACGAGGCTGTACTAATGTCGATTTGCCCAGTTTTTCAATACACGCTTATGGTCCATGTTACTTTTCAACTGGACGCACACCCTTTCTTTGAAACGGTTGGACGAAATTGTTGACCGACTAAATTTTCTGCATATACATTACACTCTAGGAATTGCTCTTAGGACCAGTACATTACCGTCTTTGAGCGCAGTTACTCCCAGAAACCAAGAGGACTAATTCACATCAAGCATGTTTGATACCATTGAAACTTATCTTATAGGCCAGGTTGTTGCTGGAAGCTGTTAGCCGCATGGTTAACCATGGGGTTAATGCTGTTTGTGTCAAGAGGATTTGGATTTCTGAACTGTTGAGTTACCTTAATACATGCTGTCGCTGTACATGCTGCCGCGGCCATTTTTGATGTTGTTTCTGCTGCTGTTGCTGCTGCTGTTGCTGCTGTTGCTGCTGCTTCTGCTGTTGTTGCTGCTGCTTCTGCTGCTGCTGCTGTTGATGCTGCTGATGCTGCTGTTGCCTCTCCTGTTGCTGCTGTTGTTGCTGCTTCTGCTGCTGTTGCTGTTCTCATTGCTGTTGATGCTGCTCACACGACTTTGTCTGTTCACTGTGTTTGACTAGGGGAAAGTGTGCCGGTCAGCGAGCAGGCCAGTATGCGCACCATCACCACCAGCACGGCCGCGACAACAGCATCGTCAACACCATCAAACAGCAGCGGCGGCGGTGGCGGCGCAGCCTCAGCTGCCTCATCTGCCACGTCTATGCTAAGCAGCAGCATCGCGACCGAAGACACTCTCAGCTCCTCCGTCGTGTCGTCCTCCACTGGTCTACTGGGTGCCGGGGGCAGCGGCGGACAAGCATCGTCTGTTGCCATGGCAGCTGCGGTAACCGCTCCGGCATCTCTATCCAGTGTTGAGCGGCAGCAGTTTGAAGAGGAGCGCGCAAAGCTCTACTCGGACCTGGATGAGAAAGTAAGCGGCCTTTACTGTACTGTTTCTACAAACGCACCAACGACATCTTGTAACTACATGTAGCTTCGTTTACAACAAATCACAAGTGTGTGGGAATACCGAGAACGACAGAGAGATCAAAGGAAAAGCCAGGCAGACAAGTACAGCTACAGTGCGTACGGTACAGCTGGCATGCTGTACAGCATGGCCGGATGAATGCATACAGGTAAAAGGATACAATGACAAACAGTGGGACGTGCATCCATTATCAGCGAGGCAACGTTGCTGTTACTGCGTACAGCCGACTCCTGATATGCCAAACACCATTGCAGGCGCGTGCACCGTATGAGTTTTTTGGTGTCTGGAAACCACCTTTTTTCGGGCAATCTTGCCAAAAGAAAAGCGTGTAGTACTGGATTGGTTATCGATCCTGCAAACGCATCGATCGACGGGCAGTTTACAGTACAGTGACTATGTCCTTATTTCGAAGTGAGAGAGAGTTGCTTTGCATGCAGTTCGAAATACATTATTCTCTTTTTCTTCAGTGGAAAGTAGCCACGGAGGGATCGATCTCTAGCTCTGGTTCGCTCCTGGATTGGCGATGACGTTCAAGAAATCCGTTTTGTCTCGAAATTTGAGTCAAGCACGCGCGATGCAAGTCAGTTAAAGGATATGATTGACGATATCTCCTTCCAAACCGTTGACTCAAATCAAGATCGCCACAGCCTTTCGTTCTCGCTCATGTGCGCAGCAGAGATGTTCGTCAAAAACGTTGACGACTGGAAGACGTAAAAATGTGCGTCCATGATCCACTTGCGCTGCTTCAGAACGAAGCGCTACTCCGGCCGCGACACAAGGACGCGGGGCTTCGCTTTTCTTCCGCGAGCTTCCATCGAAGCAAGGTCCATAACTCTCTATTGAAATCATGTGGAACATTGCCAATACATGCTGAAAACTTCGTCATAAGAACAGAAAGAAAGATACGTCGAATGTAAGCAGTGTTTTGATGAAACAAACAAGCCTGGAGTGGACTAGTGAAGTACCATAGTCTGATAGACATGGTGTTATCGACTGTAGTGTAGACTGGGCAGCTAGGACTATCAAACCTTTACGTGTTCAATAATTATGACAAACTAGTGAACAAACATGTATAATTTATTATGATTATGAGTACATTGACTTTTGCACCCTCTTTGCAAATGCTTTTTGAAGTGCTGGTATGTAAAAGGTAACCCGTTTTATCCTGCTATCGATTATACATGTACCAACATTTCCATGCAACCAGCATTGTCCCCTCCCTCCATTCCTCTTTATTCTTATTTCTGTCCTTTCTACCCCTGTACCTGGTTCCCTCTCAGACGCGTTTGTGCAGGCATGATCTGATGATAGCAGTCGGACGAGCCCCGCATCTCATCAGCATTAGTGTTCATTGGTGCCCTGCACCCCTGATCTTGAGTCCCCCCCCCCCCTCCCTCCTCCCTAGCCGGCTGCCCTCGCCGTTATCTCCGACGGGATGTTCGGGGATGCGCATGTGCACAAAATTCATACAGTCATAATTATACAATGGGGCCCCAGAAAAAAATTACCAACTCTAGAAACCCCCCTTTCAAGACTCGGTGCACGCCACTGCATTGTGCGGGAGAATTTGTTCATAGCTGAAGTTCGTCATAACGTTAGCAGAAATGCAGTTAGTGCGTACAGAACGGTGCATGCCCAGTGCACATGTTGATCATTTGAGTACTCACGGCTGCATGGCCAGCGCCCTGGGGCCGCTCGACCTCTGACTGGATTTCCATGTCCACGACAGTATGTTGGGATAAGAAGTAGAGGTACCTTGAATAGTAGGTACACTGTGATGCTGCCCATGGGAGGGGGGTATGTCCCATGGGGGTATGTCCCATGGGGGTATGTCCCATGGGGGTACTGTATGTCTTGTTAGTGTTCTACTGTATGGTCAATGTGTTTGTGTATCTCTCTGCTCATGGGGGTATATCCCATGGGGGTACGTCCCATGGGGGTTTGTCCCATGGGGCATGTCCCATGGGGGTATGTTCTATGGGGGTTTGTCCCCTGGGGTATGTTCTATGGGGGTTTGTCCCCTGGGGGTATGTTCTATGGGGGGGGGGGGGGGGGTTGTCCCATGGGGGTATGTCCCCTGGGGGGTATGTCCCATGGCTGTACATCTTATCAGTGTTCTACTGTATGATAAATGTGTTTGTGTCTCTCTGCTCATGCCGCCGTAGGATGGTGAAATCAACACCCTGGGTCAGGAGGTGGAGAAGCTAAAAATGGTCAACATCGACCTGCAAGAGGTAGGTGTATTATGCCAACGGTGGTGTATTTGGTTGCGCCTTGGACACAATGATGTTGATGTCTTCAGAGTATGGCATGATAGTACTGTCTAACCTCTTGTATCCCCCCGATGTCTAATGCACATAGGTATCGTAAGGTATTATCTCTTCACCCAGCAACTTCAGCTTGGTGTACATTGGCAATGTAGTGTCATGTCGTTTTGCCGGTTTTTCCAGTGTCGCCTTCTCTGGATGCCCTGTC